AAAGAAAGCGTCTCTCAAAACAGCTAGGAGAGAATTTTTTGTTTTTGAAAAATAACATCATCAAAAGGTTCAAAAAGCTTTTTTGCAAAAACAAAAAAAAAAATTTGTAAATATGAAAAATTCTGAAAAGAAAATTTCATATGAGGAAAAACTTTTCAAACACGTGAATTCGATCTGATGAACAAAAAATTTTTTGTCACTCAGAGAAAAATTCTCGAGAAAATAAAGTTTTTGGTAAAGAAAAAAAAATGTAAGAACTGGAGAAAGTTTATCGTAAAGTTTCGAGAGAAAAGAAACTGGAAAAAAGATCCCTAAAAAGAAATCAGTAGTTAATTAATTCAGCAATTAATCCAGAAATTAATTCTGTAGTTAATTAATTGATTCGGTGAATAATTAATTCAGTGATTAATTAGTGCAGTAATTAATGAATTCTCTAATTAAAGAATTCCGTAATTAATGAATTCAGCTATTAATTACCTCAGTACTTGATTAATTCACTAATTAATTAATTCAATTAAAAAATCCAGTCGTAAATCAGCGAAACTGATTAATTCATTCGCAATTAATTACTTTACCAAATTACAAACAGTAATTAATTCAGTAATTAATTTCTCAATTAATTCTGCAATTAATTTACTAATTTGCCAAGTAATTGATTCAGTGATTAATTAATTCAAAATTAATTAATGCCGTAATTAATGAATTCGTTAATTAAAGAATTCCGTAATTAATGAATTCGCCAAAATTAATTACCCGAAAGGTTTAATTAATTCAGTAATTAATTCAATCGTAAAAATCGAAGAGTAATGAATCAGATCAGTAACTGATTAATGAAATCGTACTTAAATACTTTGGTAATTACTTAAGGAAATATGTAATTAATTCAGTGAATCAAGTAATTGGTTAAGTGAATAATTACCTAATTAATTCAGTGGTTAATTAATTGAGTAATTAATGAATTCTCTAATTAAAGAATTCCGTAATTAATGAATTCAGCATTTAATTACTTACATTTATCTTAATAACAATTAATCCAATTAATTAATCATGTAATTAATTTAATCGTATAATTAAAAAAAATTTTTGTCGTAATTAATCAGATCAGTCCTATCTGATTAATACGTTCGTAATTAATAACTTTGGTAATTATTGCAGTAATTAAGTAACTGATTCAGAAATTAATTTAGTAATTAATCAATTGAATAATTAACGAATTCCCTAATTAAAGAATTCCGTAATTAATGAATTCAATAATTAATTATTTCAATTGTTAATTAATTCTAAAATTAATTCAATTAATTCAATAAAAACTGGAAAATAATTCCATTCGTAATTAAATAATTCAGTCATAATTAATTGAGTGGTAATATAATATTGCAGCCATAATTAATTATTCAAATATATTGTCAATCACTCCGTTTGACAGTAAATTTCAAACTAATCGTATAGATTTTAGAATTGGGAAAAATATTTAGCCAGTATTTATCAAATATATTTATCGAATTTAACAAATGCCGTTTTTATTGTCTTAAGTATAATAAATTTAAATAAAATAAGATAATATTATATAATATAATATATAATATACTATACTATACTATAATACAATATAGTATAAAGTAATACAATAAAATACAATAAAATATAATGAAATATAATAAAATATAATAAAATATAATAAAATATAATGAAATATAATATAATATAATATCATATAATATCATATAATATCATATAATATCATATAATACAATATAATATAATATAATACAATATAATATAATATAATACAGTATAATATAATATAATATAAGATAATACAATATAATACAATATAATATTATATGATACAATATAATATTATATAATAAAATACAATATTAATCTAATATTAATTTTTCTTTTCTTAGAAAATAATTTCTATTTGCTATAATATAATGATTAGACGCTTCAATTCCATCAATAAATGTGCCACTTTAGAGGCGCGTTTAAAAAAATCGTGAAAGAATAACATGAGAACAAAAAAAAAAAAAATTTATTATCAATGTAAACGTTAATAATGTATTAACGACCAGTAAAATTTATAATTGAGATGTTAATACGTTTCAATGACTACTAACACTTTACTCTACGATTAACGTTGACGACGATTCTTATTATACTATCCGCATACTGTAATTCCAATGAATAAACAATAAAAAGCAAAAAAAAAAACAAAAAAAAATTCTATTAAATACATTATACCACAAAAAAAAAAGATTACAAAATATAAACGTTAATGTTATATCATCATTGATATATATAATTATAATAATGATGAAATATGTAATCCCCCTTTGATCCGAGTTTAGCACCAGGGCAACATGGGAAATTTGAAAAATTCCATCTCTTCTTATATTGTAATAATATTTCAAGAAAAAAAACAAGGGAGAACAAGGAAAAATTTGTGAGTGTCTAATTTTTTTTTCTATTGTCAGTATATACTATATATAAAAAGTGTTACTGATAATTATGATAATAATAATTAATCGTATTGAAGATCTTAAAAAAAAAATTATTGACGCTCTATTTTGTCATCGAGTTTGTGCGGGAAAAAAGAAATTGTTGTTCGGTTGCCCTGTAGATGATCTGTTACCTACTCGTATGTAATAATAAATAGGCGTACAGAGAAAGTGCATTTTTCTTTCATTTTGTCCCGATGATAATCGAAAAAAATTAAAAGAATCGAAAAAGAATTTTTTTTTTTTTTTGGAGAATGATTTAATTTTTTCACTTGAGAACGCTGAGATTGCCACTAGGTGGTGAGGAATTTGATTTTATCTATTGAACTGCCGTCTAACGGTGACCTTGGCGTTCGCAGGTGGAGAGAAGCTTCTCCATATTTAATCTCAAGATGTTCGTCAATTTTTTGTAATTCTATAATTGTTTATTGAATTATATTGAATATAATTATATATTCAATATAATTAAATATTCAATATAATTATATTAAATCTAGAGAGTTTAACAATTAATATAAATTGATTCAATTTTCTAGAGTCTTGGAATTAATTTTTCCGGTAAATAAAATAATATTTAAAAGTTCGGTTTAAGAAATAGTACCATTAGTGGATTTTTTTTTTTTTTAAGGAAATAAGTGTCATTAGTAACTTATTTATTAAAATAGTAGCTATAAATAGTTGTATGAGGTGAAAATAGTCCGAGGTCTGTATTATTATTAAATTTTAAAGTAAAATAATTAGAAATAATTAATTAATTAAAAAGGTGTTATAGCTAAATTTAATTATATAATAATAATCGATTATCGATTAAGAAAAATAGCAAATTATTGAAAATCTTAAACAGTCAATGAATTTTCTTTCTTAAATTAAAAAAAAATCCATAAGTAGAGTTACAGTTAGTTGCAAATTTTATAAATAATCAATTATTTATTATTGTATTTAAATAATTGAATTCTCGTACAACATTTTGATGAGAATTTGATTTGAAAAAGAATTTCAGTTCAAATTTTAGAAAACATTTCAAGAATTTGTAGAATTTATTGCATGTTGTAATTATTAAACATAATTAATTTATTAAAAAAAAATTAATAGAATTTGAAAAAATTTATTTAGAACATCTGAAAAAATGAGTTTTTTTTAAAAAAATCTTAATTAAAATTTTTTTAAATAATAGTTAAATTTCCGAAAATAATTTTTAAAAATTGGAAAAAATGGGAAATTTGCACAAATTTCATTAAAATAAATTTTATATTTCAAAGAATTTTATTTTCTTATTTTAACAAATTATTTTTAAATATTATTGTATTTTTTAAAGAACTGTAACTAAAAATCTGGAAAATAATTAAATTTTACAAAAATTTTTGTATTTAAATAATTCAATTATCATTAAATTCTAATAAGAATTGATTTTAAAAAAAAAAATTTCAGTTAAAATTATGAAAAATAATAGAATACTAGAAGCGTTATAACATTAATTTTAAGAAATAATTAAATTTTAAAAAGTTTTTAAATATTGAAATCTTTTATTAACATTATAATCGCCGTAAAAGTATAAAATAATATTTGAACGTTTAATTAAAAAAAAATTATCAATATATATTTTTATATTATTTTCCTTTAAAAATTATTAAATTTTTGAATAATTTTATTCAAAAATTCTAAAAAAAAATTTGACTTTTGGAAGAATCAGTTGTAATATGTCAGTTGTAATTTTTAGAAATAATTAAATTTCAAAAGGTTTTATATTGAAATTATTTGAAATTTCATAATTAAAATAAATAACAAAAACTTTTTAAATATTTGAATTTTCCCGGAATTATATTTGTTGCATAATTCAAGAATAATTCAATAATTTTTGTACAAAAATAATTTTTGTACAAAAATTATTGAATTTTTGAATAATTTTATGTAAAAATTCTAAAAAAATTAGATTTTTGAAAAATTATAATTAAATATTTTTAAGATAATTTGAAATCCCGAAACAACTTTTTTTTTAATAAAATAAGCTGTTTTGAATTATAATTGCGACATTTGATAAAAAAAATTCACGAGCGGCGAGAGTGTTAGGAAAAATAATTAAAGTTAATTTATTAAAATATGACTAAAAATTGTTATATTTATTTTTTATAATTGATTAAAAACAAGTTTTTTTTTCATTTTGGTAAAAATTTAAATTTAATTTACTTATTACTTGTCTATAATAATCAATTAAATATTTATTTGTATGAAATAATTTTTTTTTGTATTTTACTTCAAATAGAAAAATTATTAGTTTAAATACTAAAATTCTTGTATTAAACACCGGAATTATTTATTCAAATACAATTTATTTGATTTAAATTAAAAATATGTTTGAAATAAAAAACTATTCGACAAATGAATATTTATTTGAGATAATAGACAAGTAATTGGTTATTTGAATCAAATACATTTTTTCTTCACTGTAAATAATATGCATAAAATAATAATATAACTTCCAAATATATTATTATAATATAGGTAATATAATAATTATAATATTAATAATGCATATTAAATTATAAATTATATTTATACCCATAATTTATGATTTGAACGTATTTTAATAATTTTCCAGCTAGCAGTCACGCAACAAATATCGCAAATTTTCAATCCTAAAATTAACAAACACATTGATTCGGCGATTATTATCATGTACAAACAATATTAACAACCATAATAACCATCAATTATAATAAGCTTTAACATTCCATAATTCAACGCACACAACTCGCAACACAATAAACATTATAATTCAATCAAAATACATCAATTTCTCCGATAATAATAATTATTATTATTATTATTATTATAATTATTATTCAGGTTTGAATTTTGTAATTGCAAATTTCTCCACTGTTGCTCAAAGTATCCTTGATTCTGTAGGTCAATTAATTTTTTCAATAGATCATTTTCCATAATCCTTGGCTGTTGTATGTATATGTGGAATTTTTTATTCACTCTTCTCCAATTTTTCAAATATTCCACTTGTGATAGGAAATAATTATATTTCGTGTCGTCAGCAAGAAGTGATTTTAATTGAGCTAATTCTAATGGGATTTCAATGGGTGGTGATTTTGTTGTTTTTTCAAGAGTGTATTGTTTATTATTTATTATTTCGACAGGATTATTTTGATTTGTATTTCTTAAATGTTTCAAGTATTCCACTTGTGCTAGGAAATATTTGTATTTTTTCTCGTCAGTCAACAAGGATCTTATGTCAAATGGTGGGGGTGTTGTTGGTGATTCTGTTGATTTTATCAGTGGTGGCGTTGTTGTTTGTGGGTTTCTGAATACTGTTGTTGTATCCAAAGGCAGAGTTGTTGTATCAAGTGGCAAAATTGTTGTTGTATCAAATGGCACAGTCGTTGTATCAAGTGGCAAAATTGTTGTTGTATCAAATGGCACAGTTGTTGTATCAAGAGGCACAATTGTTGTTTTATCATTTGGTGCAATTGTTGTTATATCAAATGGCACAGTTGTTGTATCAAATGGCACAGTCGTTGTATCGAATGGAACAGTTGTTGTATCAAGAGGCACAATTGTTGTATCAAATGGCACAGTTGTTGTATCAAGAGGCACAATTGTTGTATCAAGTGGCAAAATTGTTGTTGTATCAAATGGCACAGTCGTTGTATCAAGTGGTACACTTGTTGTTATATCAAATGGCACAGATGTTGTATCAAGAGGCACAATTGTTGTTATATCAAATGGCACAGTTGTTGTATCAAGAGGCACAATTGTTGTATCAAGTGGCAAAATTGTTGTTGTATCAAATGGCACAGTTGTTGTATCAAATGGCACAGTCGTTGTATCGAATGGAACAGTTGTTGTATCAAAAGGCACAATTGTTGTTGTATCAAATGGCACAGTTGTTGTATCAAGAGGCACAATTGTTGTATCAAGTGGCAAAATTGTTGTTGTATCAAATGGCACAGTCGTTGTATCAAGTGGTACACTTGTTGTTGTATCAAATGGCACAGTTGTTGTTTTATCATTTGGTGCAATTGTTGTTGTATCAAATGGCACAGTTGTTGTATCAAATGGTCCAAATGTTGTTCTATCATTTACTGTTTCAGTTGTTGTTGGTACCATTATTGTTGGTACTATTGTTATTGGTCCACTAAAGAAATCAGTAGTTAATTCTGTTACTACCGATGTTGTTTCATCATTTGTTAATTGTGTCGTTTTCAAAATAGGCATAATTGTTGTTTCTGATTGTTGAAATGTTGTTGTTGTTGAAATTGTTGTTTTTTCGTTTATTGTTTCAGTTGTTAGTTCCACCAGCGGTAACATTTCCTCTTCTTTATTCGACAATTCAGCCGTTATTTTTTTCTCTATTTCAGCAGATTTTGTTTTTAATTCCTCGATTGTCATTTCAGTTGTTGTCGGCATTTTTAAATCATTAGAATCAGTCTGTCTTCTAACTCGATGAACGTTCTAAAAATTAAAAAAAAAATTTATTCAAAATTGAATATATATTACTATTGTCATTAAATATATTTTATTATTGTTTTTTTATTATTATTTTTTATTATCTTTTATTATTTTCAGTCAATGACCAAAATGCCTTTTTTCTCTTACAAGAAAATAATATCTTATTAAAATTTTTCCGTAAAAAATAAATTCCTTTTATTAAATACATCTTGGATCTTATCTTACAGATCGTTAAAGATAATTCTAAATATATTTTTAATTTCCTTTTAATGTTTGTTATAACTTCAATAACTGATTTTTAGAGAAACTTACTTGATTATTACAATGATCTTGGGAAAGTAGTTTGAAATCCAATTCTGTAGCATTATGGAAAGGAATAGTAAGATCACAATTTGATATAATTGGTTCTCCAGATTTTAATTCAACGCCAATTATGTACAATTGTTCTAATTGAAATTGTACAAAGCATTCTTCCCTGGCCAAAATAGACAGTTCATTTTCGAAAATTCCAATTAATTTAGAACAATCCTAAAAATATGATATTAAAAATAATTTTTTATTAAAACTATAAATTAATTTGTAAACAAAAAATTTCCCCTCAATTTTCGAAAATTTAGAGTATTTTTGTAATTATAATAATTATTATATTGTAATAATTATTATTGGTAATTAATTTATATAATTGAATAATTTTTTTTAAGGATTGCGGCAAAAAAATAACAATTATTATTAGTAAATAATTCTTATTATTATTTACTAAATGCAATAATAATTATCATTTCAACTAAAGAAACTAAATTGAGATAATTTAAATTAACTGTCGGTAATTAACTAAAGGAAAAATTAATTAAATTTAACTAAAATTAATTAAAGATTATTAAAATTAAAATAATATTATTAAAATTTTTTATATACCTTGTAAACTGTTGTGACATTCACTAGATATCGTTTTTCGTTCACATGTTCTACGTAGTCATTAACTTCAATCAAAAGAACTGCGCACAAAAAGAGGAAGAATATTAATTTAAACCATTTTTTTTTATTTATTAATGATAATAATAGTTAAATATTTTTTTACCAATATCCGATTTGATGATTTTTGTCTGAAGATCGGTTGATGAACAATTACAAATTTCTTCTTTTCCCAATGAGAAAGAGAACGATGTCATCAAAAGAAAACTCAAATAATGTAAATTTAAATTCATCTGAGAATAAAGTAAACATTTTTTAATATTTTATAATTAGAAAAAATAATGTCGAATACAAATAATTATTTATTTACTAATTTGTATATTTACTCCATTACTAATTTACTAATTAATAAATTAATTAATTTAATAATTTAAAACTTTAATAATTCAATATTTTATTATTTTATTAATTTAATAATTTATTACTTTAATAATTTAATGATTTATTGAAATTTATTACAAAATAATTAATAAAGGATGAAAATAAAAAATAATAATAATTAAATATGAAAGTAAAAATTATTATTACTAAATATTAAAAATATTTAGTTCCCACACTTATATATTCATATAATTAATTATTATGTTTATAATAATAAACAATAGACGAAATTCTAATTAAATTTACAAATTCAAAAAAATTTAGAAATATTTCTTACCTTGAACGAAATTTTTTAGTTTATTTTTTCAAATATTCTTCAAAAGTACTTTCATAAATAATACATTACAATTTTTCTTCAATTATTTGTCAATGTTTCAAAATTTCCTCGTCACTTGTAATTTCAACTTTTTTCACTATGAACAGAAGTAATATTTTTTTTAATTCTTTTTTTCCTTACTTGATTTCTGTAGAAATGAAAAATTTTTTGCTAGCACTGATATTATTTATAATAAATTTGTAAAAATAAATTCATGTCAAAAATTTATGAAAATAAATTCATGTAAAAAATTTATGAAAATAAATTCAGTCAAAAATTTATAAAAATAGATTTATTCATAAATTTATCAAAATAAATTAGTTAATAAATTTATAAAAATAAATAAATTAATAAATTTATTTCAAAAAATCATAAATAATCAGTGATGACAAAAGAAAATAGCGGAGAATTTTATTTTAAATTTTAGAATATTCACTGGAGCACAAAAATTTCTTCTCGAAAATAGATGAGAAATATGTACCTGAAACTTATCTCGCGAAGTGTATCGAAGAAATGCCAAAAGAATAATATTCAACCTTCTGCATTTACCTGAATTTTGTACCTGGATGAGAAAAATTTTTAAAGGTAAATTCAACAAACTTTACCTCACACAAATAAAGCCAGAGGTCATTAAAGTAGAAAAATATTTCTCCTCCCATATAATTTCAAAAATTCCATTTTTGATAACGAAAAAAATTTAATTTCTATTTAATTGCACTATATATCTTTAAAAAAAAAGACAAAATTAATTTAAAGTTAAATACATATTTTTGACTTTTTATAAATTTCTAATTCAAAAAATTTGATAAATTCGAAAAAAAGAATATTTATATAAAGATTTGTTGTCGAGAAGAAAATTTATTTTCAATAAAAATGAAATTAATATCGTAAATTTAATTACAAAAATTATTTTAAAATCCGGAAAGTAAAAATTCTTTTGAAGGAATTTATTTTTAACTCTTATTTATTTTATTTTTTTTATTTAAAAATAAAATTTATTTTTTATTTAAAAATAAAATTTGTAAATACATAGCAAAAATAAAGAAACATGTTTTCTAAATTTATAAATTTCAAAATCAAAAATTTGATAAATTCGAAAAAAATATTTATTCGAAAAAGAGAATATTTACCTATATAAAAATTTTTTGACGAGTAGAAAATTTAATTTCAATAAAAATGAAATTAATATCGTAAATTTAATTACAAAAGTTGTTTAAAAAACCGAAAAGTAAAAATTCTTTTGAAGGAATTTATTTTTAATTCTTATTTATTTTATTTTTTATTTAAAAATAAAATTTGTAAGTACATACCAAAAATAAAGAAATGTGTTTCCTAAATTTATAAATTTAAAAATCAAAAATTTGATAAATTCGAAAAAATATATTTATTCGAAAAAGAGAATATTTATATAGAAATTTTTTGTCAAGAAGAAAATTTAATTTCAATAAAAATAATCAAAATTAATATCGAAAATTTCATTACAAAAATTGGTTTAAAATTCAGAAATTAAAAATTCTTTTGAAGAATTTTATTTGTAATTCTTATTTATTTTATTATTTTATTTTTTAATTTAAAAAAATTTTTTAATAAAATTAATTTTCTATTTAAGAATAAATAAAAATTTTAATCAAAAAAAAATAAATAGCAAATAGAGATACTAAAAATAAAGAAACACGTTTTCTAAATTCTTAATTTCATAAATTAATAAAGAAATTACAATAATTTGTCACTGGATAATAAAATTTTTATTAAGAAATATAATAAAAAAAAATATAGTTAACAATATAGAAATTAATTTTTAATAAATCAAATTTCTGCATTTGAAATTTTTTAGAGTAAAATTTATCTAGACATTAATTATTGATTTTATTTTCCAAAACGTCCCCTTATTGCAGTTTTCCCGTCATACACTCGAGTAATTCTGTAATACTTGTCTGTAATACCGACTGAAATTGTGACAACACTGTTTGTGTAGTACAAATATTATCGCGATATCACAAGTTTTACAATGTATACATGACAGAAGTGAAACGTTCAATTATTTTTTAAACAATTTAATAAATCAAGAAAAATGTTTATTGTTGGATTGACAGGTGGTATTGCCACTGGAAAGAGTACTGTTGCTGCAATAATGCGAGAACATGGAATACCTGTCATCGATGCTGATATCGTTGCAAGAAAAGGTTAGGAATCATAATTTTATATCTATAATGGAAAAATGTTTTAAAAAACTATTCTAATAATAGCTTTGTTTTATTTAAATAACAAAAAAAATTCGAATTCAATCAATTTGAAAATTGATTGAATTGAACCTCAACTTTAATAACACAAAATAAATCTTTTTTCAAATAGAATCTTTAATACATATACATATTTTTCATGCGATCAAAGTCCTTATAATTACATTCATCAATTTGCATTCATGAAACGACAATTTTTATGATTTTTTTTTACAACTCTATTCTTTTTTATTTCTATTTTCTCTGTTCACCTTGTTTATTTATTTACTACCTACCTTGACTCGAGAGATGAAAAATGTTAACAAATCAATTTGTTTTGACAGTTTTAGAATTATATATTGTGCGTCTTGAAAATATATTTAAATTTTGCAGATAAATAGATGCAATTTCTTTTATTGTTTTTTTGTTTTGTAGTTGTTGAACCAGGAAAGCCAGCGTGGCATAATATACGTAAAGAATTTGGATCGGAGGTATTTTTGGAGAATGGAGAACTTGATCGTGTCAAATTGGGAGATTTGATATTCAATGATGTTGAGAAGAGAAAAAAATTAAATACCTTAACGCATCCTCATATCTACAGGGAAATGGGCTGGCAGGCATTTAAATGTTTTCTTAAAGGGCATCCCTTTATTGTTATGGATTTGCCATTACTCTTCGAAACTGGCCACATGCTGGGATATTTACATAAAATCATTGTCGTCACATGGTAATGTCCATTAACTCGTATACATTAATTTATTATACTCGCAATTAATCCTAATTTTTTAATTAAGAGTTATTTTAAAATAATTTTCAATAATTATTATAGTACTTCAATTATTTTCAAAATTTTCAATTAAAATCACTTCAAAAAATAACATTATTTTTACGAAATTTAATGAAATTCTTTAAAGAAATATATATACAATAATTATTTACAAAAACTCTAATAAAATTTTTTAAAAGAATTTAATTTTCTATGAATAATTTTAATATAATTTAATAGGAAAATCGTTAATTACAATTAATTTTTTATAAATACTTAACAAGAATTCAATGATTTTCAGTACATTTATTTTAAAATTTTTAACATTAAAAAGAAAAATATTATTTAATTTTTTATTTTCAAATATAAATTTTTGAAAATTCATCAAAATTTTAATAAAAATTCACGAAAGAATTCAATTATTTTCAGTACAATTTTAATAAACTTCAAAAATTAAATATTTGTTTATAATTATTAACAGACACGATTATATTTTAGAAATTTGAAAAAAAATTCTTTGTTTAATTCAATTATTTTCAAAATTTTCAATTAAAATTATTCAAAAAATCTACATTATTTCTAAAAAATATTTTAAACAATGCTTCAAAAGATTTTAATTATTTACAAAAATTCTAATAAAATTGTTGAAATGAGTTTAATTTTCTACAAATAATTTTAATAAAATTTTAATAGTAAAATTAGCAAGAAAATGGATTATATTCAATAAATTAAAGAAATTTTTAGAAAGAATGAAATAAATTACCGAAACACAACGATTATTAATATAGATTATAAATTATAAATAATATAAATTATAAATATTAATATAATTTATCGTCGATTGTTTAATTTATAATTATTATAAATTTATAATTATTTTCCAGTGAAGAAGATCTTCAGCTCCAGCGATTAATGGAGCGTTCTGGCTTCACAGAAGCGAAAGCAAAATTACGAATAGGCGCACAAATGTCACTGGAAAAAAAGGCGGATATGGCAAATTTTGTCATTGAAAATTCTAGCAGCGATCGTGATACTCGCGAACAAACAATAAAAGTCATCAATGTTCTAAGAAGTTACAAGCAACATTGGAAACTACGAATTTTAGTTGGATTTTGTTGCACCGTATTATTGGCTGGCGTCTATTGGCTGAGAAATAAATCTTTAAAATCAGCACCTGCAGTTTCATAAGAAAAAGAAAAAGAAACAGCCAGGTACAAAAAAAAGGAAAAGAAAAATACCTCCAGATTAAAATAATTGTCGCCTGGGGTGACAATTTTTTAATTCACAAGTCATCATCGAAGAATTTTCCATTGGAAGCTAATTATAAAAAAGAAAACTTATTAATAATGTAGAATTTTTTTTAAACAGTTATTTCTATTCCATGAATTTAGATCTGATTTAATTGATTTTTTTTCTAATTTGCTACTCAATTTTTTAGATATACTTATTGAAAAATGTTTAGCACAAAACTTTCGGATTTAAAGTCCGAAATCTTCCTAAATATAATACCATATATTTTACAATAAAATTTGAAAATAAATTTTCAAATAAACTTGTTTTATTAAAAAGAATAAGAAATGTTTTTCTTATTGTTTCTTGTTAATCTTGTAAGTCGAAATAATAGAAATAAAAACTACACGAACAACTTTCTCGTAAAAATTTCAAGTATCCAAAAGTTTTTGTAGAATAGAATAAAAAGAAAAGAAAAAACGCGAATAAAATAGGAACGAATTGAAGTCAAATTTAATAATTGAAAAATAATAATTTAATTAGGATTTGAAAAAAATGTTGATATTAAAACATGCATTTTATGTACAACAATTTTTATTTTTATTTTTATTCATTTTTCTTTTAAATCTACTTAATTAGAATCGACTTGTCATCACTTCTAGAAACTTACTTCCTAATATTTTTACTTAATCAACGCGATAAGTACTTAATTACTAAAAAATATCACTATTGTATAAGAATATTTTAACTTATCTATCGATATTGGAAGTATAAAAATTCTTTTTCTAAGAAATATCGACAATGTCACGTACACTGTTAAAAATCGAACTCCAACTTTACACCAAAAGAGATTGAAACGATGTTGTTTCAATCTCGCAATTGATTGAATTTCATTGGTTTCAAGTTTTTAATCAAAAATGAGTGTATTTACATTTTATAAGATTCTGACTATATAATTACGCCATCTCCCCTTCTAGAATTCAGCCCCTCAATTAATTATTTATTCAGAGACAATATCAATTATTATTAATAAAAATAATTCTTTAAGGTAATTATAATTAAATTTATTTATTTATTTTTTAGTAAATAATTGATCTAATCATTGTAATTATGTAAAATTAAGGTTCGATTTTTTGCACAGAACAATCGTAGCAGTATTAATGGAAAGTTTTATTTTCAAAGTTAAATTTTTGCCTTCAATACTCTCTCCAATTTTCTACTTGAACTGATAAACTATGCTATCAAATACCACATTAATGCTATTAATTTTAATTGTTTCATTAATCATCTAAATTTTAATTAAATTAATTAATTTAATTTCGTTCATTGAATTTAATTGATTAATTTAAATAAATTAATTTACTTTCGTTCATTGAATGTAAATTAATTAATTTAAAAATAATTTGATAGCAAAATTTTCAGTTTGTTTGTATTGAGATGAAAATATACTTTTACTTGATAATTTTTTTTTCAAATATATCAATCGCAAAGACATATTTACAGTAAAATTACTAAATTCTCTACTTACAATTTGTTTGTAGAGAAAGTAAACAAAATATCACAATAGAGATTTGTTCTTCAAATAAACAAAAACTAAAACTAATTTTAACGAAAAAAAGTATTCGATATTAATTATCGAAATTTATGGCAATCAAAAATGTTTACTCAATATTCCTTCTTAAATTCTATACAAAAAAAAACTTTTACTCCTTATTGTTATTAATTTATTTTTAAATATCAAAACTGGAATTTAATTGCATATTCTATCCCCTGAGTTTCCTTTGAAATTAATCATTTTCATTCACTGACTATACAAGACAGTCAAACATTACAATCGAATTTATAGAAAAAATTTTTAAAAAGCTGAAAAAAAATATTGTCCACGACAGTGGACTTTTTTAGATCTATGATCTTATTTTTGAATTTTATTTCATACGTAGAGAATAATTTTTTCAACTCGATCTACATATATCTAGTCAGTGTGAGTCTTTTTCGGATTTTTAAAAATAAAAATAACTATCAGAACAGTTTCTTTTTGGGAATTTTAAATTAAATATAAAAAAATATATTTTTAATTTCTTTTAAAGGTAAATTTTAAATTTTAAACCTTTTTTTATTGTTTATAAAAAAAATTCACTGTCAAATTGAGAACAAAATTAAAATATTCAATTGAACATTAAATTCAAGAATCAAATTGTAAATTAAATCGAAATTTAGTAATTTCGATAGATGATTAAAAGTACAGGCCTCGGATATTATAACATTTTCGACTTTTTTCGACTATTTTCAAAAAATGCGACTTTTTTCGACTTATTTTCAAAAATTACGACTTTTTCGACTTTTCTTCCGAATATTGCAATAATTTTAAGTATAAAATGCAACTTATTTTCGAAATTTACAATTGAAAAGAGTTTTAATAAAATATTGAAATTTTATAAAATTTAATTGAAAATAATTGATTTTTTTAAAGTGTTTTTTAAAAATTTATAAAAATCAACATTTGAAGACTTTTAATTGCAAATTTTGAAAATAATTGAAATTAAATTCCTCGGAAAAATTTAATTTTTAATATATTTCGAATAAATTCAATTATTTTCTAAAATCTTAATAAATCCTTCGACACAATATTCAATTATTTTTATAAATGGTAAAATACTTCGCAAGAATTCAATTATTTTGATAAATAGTAAAATTCTTTGCTGGAATTCAATTATTTTCAAAACATAATATTTAATTGAATTTCTCGAAAGAATTAAAATATTTTCAAATATTTCCATAAAATTCAATTATTTCCTAAAGTTTTTAATTTATTTCTTCGAAAAACAATTCAACTATTTTTATAAATTACTAAATAAATTTTCAAAATTTACAATAAAAAACAGTTTCAATAATTGAAATTTTGTAAAATTTAATTCAAAATAATTGATTTTTTTCAGTGTTTGATAAAAATTTTTGAAAATAAACTTTAAAAGAATTTTAATTTCAAATTTGAAAATTAGCTACAAAAAAATTATATTAAAATATTTTTGATAAAAATAATTCTTAGAATTTTTGCATTCTAAGTTTTTAAAATTCAATTATTTTCAATATTTTTAAATACAAATTTCTAAAAATTCAAATACATACAAAAAAATAATAACATTAAAATTTTTTACAATTATTTTTAACATTTTAACAACATATGACTTTTTTAGATTTATTAAAATTTTGGAGAAATCGCGTTTATATTAATAATTAAAATTCTTTAAAAATTTAATTATTTTTTTAATAGAATTTATCAAATTTCAAAATTGTTTGGAAATTTTTCAATTCTATATATGTAATTGAAAAACTATTATCTTTCGTAAATTATTTTAAAAATATTTTTGAAAAATTAATTTTAAGAATTTCTTTATTATAATTTTTTGAAAATTAATCAATAACTTAAAAAACATGGGACAGTTAGAATCATTATAAAGAACTAAATTTTTGTATTTAAATAATAAATCTATTTATATTGTGGCCTTGGGTCCTTTGGACCCAAGATCACAATATAAACAGATTTATTTGACAAAAATGAAGATTCTGAAAACATTCTAAGTTGTATTTAAATAATTGAATTCTCTAAGAACTTTCGAAAAATTATTAAAAATAATTGATTTCGAGAAGAAGTTTGATTAAAAATTGTAGAAAATAATTGAATTTTAAGAGAATTAAAGTTGCAAATTTTTAGAAGTTATTAAATTTCAGAAGGTTTTAAATAGAAACTTTTTAAATTTTATTCCCGTATAAAAACAAACAAGAAGTATTTAAATATTTATTTAACGAAATTATTCAAGTTAATAATTTGAAATAATTAAATTTAGAAATCAGTGAAAAATCAGAAGAATAGAAAATAAAATTTTTGTGATGACACTGAATTAAATAAACGACTTTTTTTCTATTTTAAATCGACTAAAGCGACTTTTTTTGCACCTTAAAGTCGATTCGAAGCCTCAAAGTAGTAAAAATCAAGTAATTGAAATTTAATTTTTGTATGAGATATATAAGGAAATATTTAATTAACTGGGAAGTATTTAATTTATAAGAAAATGTTTAATTTGCGAGCAAGTATTTAATAGATTTAATTTAATCTTCGAATTTAATTCGAAAGGAAACTAAATCATTGAATTTTAAATTTCAAAATCAAATCGAAATATTCAAAAATAAATTCAAGGGAAGATTCAAAAAAATTCCATTACATTCTAATCTGAAATACTGTTCAATTGAGATACTTTAATTTCAAAAAAAAAGTAAAATAAAACAAATGTACCACATTTATCCAAATCGAATTGGATAATTCATAGAAAAAGCAAATGAAGAATTTTATCCTTCACAATACTGTTTCTTTGGTTATTTGTATTTTCAAGAATTTCAAAGTGATTTCAGGAATACAAGAATTTTCTTTTTTCTCAACTTGACGACCTTTTAATTTGTGAAATTAAGCAAAATTTTAATTGCTTAAACGATCGTTAAACTCATAATGAGTTAAATCTAACAAGACATTGAGAGAAGGAGGAGAAGGAAGTAATTCTAATCTTATCTATCAGCTCTAAATGAATGGGAATGGAATTCTTTATTTACTTACGGAAAAATAATCGACTCTGTAATCATAATTCTTTCTCTTCTCTAAAAGAATTTCTATTCATTAAAATTTTTTTATTCCCATATTCTCTTCTTTGATAAATTTTTATTTAAAACCGTTAAATAAAACTTAAATCAAAAAGATTAAATTTTGAAATGAATTGATTAATTAACGATTATTAAGCGAATTTTAAAAAATTCGCGTAATAAATAATAAATAAACTAATTTAAAAATTACTTATTCCCTTTTCTTAAGTAAAAAATGAATGTCTAAATTTCCGTAAGAAAAGAAAGAAGTTTCTGGATCGTAAAAGAAATTTACTGCAAGACAGGCCTGAGTTCCTGGGTCATTATTGGATAGGAAAGTAATGGAGCAGTTGCTCCCGATATTGACAGGGGTAAACTGGTAGGCTGCTGTGAATTCGGTGGTTGTTGATTATTCGGTTGTGGACCGGAACCGCTCATTGTGATTGTTTGTTGTGCCATTGTGACAATTGGCGGTGGAATTGAAACCGGAGCCATTGATACGGCGGCAATCGAAACGGGAGCAACTGTCGCTAAACTAACTGGAACAGTAGCAACACTCGCAGTGACAGTTCTTAATGTTCCTGCAGCAACTGCGGCGTTCACCATTTGCTGTGGAGTTGGCGCCTGGGACGGTGGCACTGTATTTGTTATTGTAACTGCCGGCACCGTCACTGCTGTCACATTCGCCGTTCGTTTGCCCGACATTCTCAATTGTGCATTTTGATCCAGAAGAAATTCATTTGTTGCTGTTAAATCACTTACCTGAAAAAGAAAAATTTAATTTATTAAATTAACTAAAAATTAAATTAACTCAAAATTAAAATTACTAAAAATTAAATTAACTAAAACTTAAATTAACTAGAAAATAAATTACCTAAAACTAAAATTTACTAAAAATTAAAATTACTAAAAATTAAATTAACTAAAACTTAAATGAAACTAATTAACATAAATAAAATTCAACAAAACTATTAATTGTCTCAATTTTTTAAATTATTATTTTCAAAAATTTCAAATTCAAACCTCTCTGAAATTCAACAACTTATAAGAATATTATTTTATTATAAAACTTGAAGATATGGATTTCTTCATGTTTTATAATAATTAAAGATGACCGAGTGATAAAATCATTATTTTATATTTTACTTTTAACTTCTTCAAAATTATTTTGATCATTTCAATTAAATTTTTATTTTCTACAATTTTTAACTAAAACTCTTCTCTACTTTAATTATCTATATACATATACATTATATATACATTAGAAAATAAAAACTTCAAATAATTTAAAAAAAAAATTCAATTAAACTTTTTCAAAAAAATTAATTCTACCGAATTATCAGTTAAAAGTATGAAAAATTCCAATTTTCAAAGATTTTAATTTGAAACCTTCTAAAAATTCAATTATTTCTAAAAATTCATTTTTAAATCAATTTTTATTAGAAAATTCTACGAGAATTCAATTATTTAAATACAAAAATACATAATTTATTGAACAATTGAATAACTTTTAAAATTTAATTCTGATAAAGAATTTTATCAACAAATTTTTACATAAATCAATTCTTTTGACGAATTTTAATAAAATTTTTTGAGAATAATTACATTTTTCGAGAAATTCGATTAAAATTGTATTAAAAAAAAATTGAAATTCTGCGATGAGTTTCATTATTTATGAAAGTAATTAAATTCCTAAAAAATATTGCATTTTTTATGAAAGTATTTGAATTATTGCGAAGAATTTAAAAAGAAAATTTGTAAATAATTGAATTCCTGTGAAATTTTTATTACTTATGAAAATAATGTTTTCATAGAATTTTATTACAATTTTTTTAAAATAATTTAATTCTTTAGGGAAATTTTACTAAAATAGTAGATTTTAAAAATTATTGAGTTGAAGAAAATGTTTTAAAATAATTGAAATTTTGACAAGAATTTTATTAAAATTTTTGAAAATAATTGAATTTCGAAGAAGAATTTAATTATTTATAAAGATAATTGAAATTTTGACGAGAATTTTTAAAAATTTTTGAACATAATTGAATTTTTGCAATCATTTCTAATTTCACCCAAATTCAATTTTTTAAAATGTTTTTAACTAAAATTCGTCTATAAATTTATTCTTTCTACGAATTTTAATAAAATTTTTAATAAAAATTACATTTTTCGAGGAATTTGATTAAAATTGTATTTAAAATAATTGAATTCCTAAAAAGAATTTTATTACATTTTGAAAATAATTGAATCTCTTCAAAAAATTGTATTCTTTATGAAAATAATTGAATTATTGCGAAGAAATTTATAAAAAAAACTTGTTAGTAATTGAATTTCTGCAAAATTTTTATTATTTATGAAAATAGACATCTAATTAAATGTTAGCGTAGAATTTTATTAAAATTTTTATTAAATAATTGAATTCTTTTAGAAAATTTTTATTAAAACAGTAGATATTGAAATTAATTGAATTGAGGAAAATTTTTGAAAATAATTGAAATTTTGCCAAGAATTTTATTAAAATTTTTGAAAATAATTAAATTTCTTCAAACATTTGTAACTTTTCCAAAATTCAATTTTTTTTAGTGTTTTTATTTTTAAATTAAAAAATTGAACTAATTTCAGAAGAATTTGAATTATTACATTTTCTTCAAAAGTACTTTAAAATTTCTAACTAAATTCATTAAATATCGAAATTTTATAAAATTTTACAATGAAACCTCTTGAAGTTCATTTATTTATGAAAATTGAAGAAGCATCTCTTTTAAAATTCAATTAATTTTGAAATATTTAAGTAAAATTATGCATTAAATAATTTATAAGGAATAATTTTATGATAGTTCTTCAAGAATTAAGTTATTTAAAAAAGAAATTATTGTCAGAAATAGAAAAAATTCTGTGTCTTGTGTAAATTTTGTTATTGTCAAAATTCTAGGGGAGGAATTAATTTCACTAAAAGTTTTAGTCTAAAACACTAAATGCTCTATTTACAAATTAATTGTCAAACTTTTGACATGACAATTTGAGTTGTAAAACAATTTCGAATCAAAAAGTCCTAATTTCACGTGAGGACAGAATATCTCGATTATTATTATTATAATAATCGAAAATAAAGTTAAAGTAAGAACAATTTTTAATTTAGTATCGCACCTGCTTTTTGAGTTCTTCTATTTTTTTTCTTAGCAAAGAATTCTCGTCCTCCAGGACAATCGCCCTGGCTTCGTTCCTCGGTATTACTGGGTAATAATATCCGGATGTAACGGGCTGAGCTGTGTGTTGTCCAACTAATTGTGAAGTTTCAAAATGTAAAAGAGCTTCACCCGAGACTAGTCTTCTTTTCGGCTCCGGTGGTCCAAGGTAATCAAGAGGATGCGAAGACGCATTGTATCCATTATTCGTTAGCAGACAGTGATCCTCCAATTGCCACTGAATGCTAAAAAAGAGAAGGGAATTTTAGAAAACAAATTTACGAATATAAATAAAAAATTTGATTTTCTGTATTTTTTTTTAGAATTATATTTCTATTATAAATTGAAAATTTATATTTCTATTATTTTTGTCACAAATATATTTTTTCAAATCCAAAAAGATGTACATTGAGAAATAAATCTAAATCTATTAATATATTTTTTCCTATAAATTGAAATATAATCAGGGCTCGAACCAGTGAAAGTATTTAAAAATACGTAATTTTATAAAATTTTTGAAAATAATTAAATTTCTGCGAAGAATTTTGATATTTATAATAATAATTGAATTTATATTAAAAGTTTTTAAAATAATATAATTTTTGCGAAGAATTTTATGATAATTTTTTTAAATAATTGAATTCCTGCTAAAAATTTGGTTACTTTGAAAATAATTGAAATTTTGCCAAGAATTTTATTAAAATTTTTGAAAATAATTAAATTTCTGCAATTATTTGTAACTTTTTCAAAATTTCCAAAATTATATCGTACAATTTACGAATTTTTCGTCCTTTTTCAATCAAATTTCGGACTTTATGGACCTTTTTTCAAAAAAACTGACTTTTACGGACATGAAGCAAATTTACAGAATTTACAGACCTAGTTCGAGCCCTAAATATAATTTAAAAATTCACTGCATTTTTTTTTAAGATTTTTAGAATAAAGCGAAAAATAAAATCATGCCTATTACTTGTTAATATAATTATATTAGTTATTAAAATAAAAAAATATGAAAAGAATCATTTTTAATTTTAATCAGGCATTTTTTTTCGTTTGTTTTAATTTTAAAACGGATCTTTTTCAAAATTTTGCTCTCGAATTTGCAACAACAATTTTGATAATAAAGAAACTATAAAGTTAAATTGTTCGAGGCTGTCAGAAATTAAAAAAAAATCTTCAAGGATTAATTTCTGGATTGAAGGCAGATGCGCAATATTGGTATCACAATGTGATTCATGCACTAAGATATAACTCAAGTATACCTCGCTTATAATTTCAACTACTGACACTTACGTAATCAATTGCCTATTAATATTCCACTGGCTTTTTTAACTACTTCAGTTTTTTTTTATTTGCAATTATTAACTACGATCATTCGGATAAAAATTGAAGAGAATTCAATTCAAACACAACAAGCAAAAATTAGATTCTATTTTCCTACTTTTCTTTCGATTTTAATTTAATTTTCTGTTAATTTTTCTTTTATTTGCTTATTATCAATTTTCCTTTCGATTTTAATTTAATTTTCTGTTAATTTTTCTTTTATTTGCTTATTTTCAATTTTCCTTTCGATTTTAATTTAATTTCTGTTAATTTTTCTTTCATTTTCAATTTTCCTTTCGATTTTAATTTGATTTTCTGTTAATTTTTCCTTTGTTTGCTCATTTGTCAATTTTAGTTAAAAAAGAAAAAAAATCAAACCTTCTGTCCTCTTCAAATCGTCGATTATCACCAACACCACCACCGCCGTTTCCATTAAAATTATGCTGTGGTTTTGGTAAATTAATTTGTGAAACTGTAATCATATTCGGTTGTGGTTCATCTTTTTTAAAGTGTCTAAATTTACAATTGACCCTTTGACAGCTGCCCTTAATGAAGTCCTTACAAGCGGGCAATTCCTTTTCGCTGTTATTCTTCAATTTAACGAGAATGTGCGATGGTAATTCGCCAGTTGCACGAAAATGTTTCTCCTCACTCTCAGTGCAATGAAGAAATTTACAACCTGGCCAATTGCACATGCCATTTTGAAAATCGTGACAAAACGTATATTCATCAATGGGACTGTCTTCTGATCTTTCGTGAAGATATTTACATCGTTTACCACGATGGCAAACATTGCGAAGAAAATCACGACAAACACGATAGGGCGATGATTCCCTATTTATATTCAAACCGCCAGCCATTTCCAATACCTTTGGATTTCCAATCCGTTATTTGTTTGTTGTTGTTGTTGTTTTTTCTCCTTTTTTTCGCTCTCAGTGAAGAAGCATCTTTGTGAAATTAAATTTCAAACTCCAACGTTTCTCCGAATCTTGATTTCTGTAACAAAATTTGTATTTTTTAATTTTTCTTCTTGTAACAAAATTGAATTTATTTTAAAATAAGAGAATAAAATTTATTTTAATAGTAGAATAAAATTTTTTTCTATTTTGGTAAATTTGACTTTTTTCTTTCTATTTACAAAGAAATAGAAAAGTAAAAATTTTTTTACATTTTTTTCATCAATGACAAAAAAATATTCTAGAATATAAATTCAAAAATGTGATTTAATTCTGAAAATACTGATTACAACATAAATATTTATGACTTTAGAATGTCTAACAACGGAAGTAATGTATTCACTCTAGTTTTTTCTCTTTTTTTTAGGACTTATGGAGTTTTTCGAAATAAAGCAAAAAATAAAATTACGCCATTACTTAACAATATAATTATATTAATAATATATTTAAGTATTCAATAAACCAAAACTAATGAAACTACTTTCATTTGCCTAGAAGGAGATAAAAATATTTTCCCCGAGTCTTAAAAGTCCACGAAAGGAGATTATGGAATTGGAAAGGCGAAATAACAACTCAAGGAATTTGAGAAATTTTAACTAATTTAATCTTTTTTTTTTTTTAATATAATGACTGTTACATATGTAGATAATATCAACAATATTATTTACAAAATTGTCTGCACCTAATTTTATTGCATAAATCATTAGGAAAAAAAAAATCAGTCCCTATAAATTTGCATTCCATTTTCTTTCTCTTCAAAATATAATTTTCTTCTTTTCATCAAATAATTTAAAAATCATGGCAAATTTTATAGTTTCATCATACAGTATATCATATAATGGCACTAAATAACTAATGAAATTATGTATTTGTCTGTGTGTGTGTGCATGTGTTAATTTTCGTATAAAAAGATTTTTGTTTAAATATAGAAAAAGTGTAACTAGAATTCATTTAAAAAATACAAAACAACACATAGGCCATTCATTCCAGTGGCAGACCGCTAAAATTATTTTTTTTAGAATTTTCAGTGAAAAATCAAGAAAACAAAGTCTGACAATACGAACTACTGGTCTAAGTTCATAATTTATAAACAATGAACAAAAAAATACAAAGACGGATTTTCGCACATTTCACTTAAACAGTCATAATTTTTTTTTTTTTATATCCAATATACAATCTAGATAATATTGTGAAAAATATAAATATAAAAACAATTGACTTTATACATAAGAAAGAGAAGCACGCTTTTAAAAATTAAATATCTCACTATAATGTGCAGTATGATAATTTTTATCTCTCCGCATCCTTTCAACATAATCAAATCTCAAAAATAAATTATAATTTTTTCACGAGTTAGAAAAATAATAAACAATTTATCCTGATTATTAATTATCGAAAAGATCCCTTTGGAAAATATCCCTTTAAAAAGAATATTGAGGAAAAAATCGAAAATTCTTTAAAAAGATTATTTTTGCAAAAGATCTTTTGAATAATTTTTTTTTAATAATCGTGCATTGACGATAATACTCCTTTACGTCCGGGAAGATATGATGATGAGATTGGCAGCGCAATAAACATTTAACAAGACTCGCTTTTGTCTAATTCCTTGAATTCAAGGTTCCCTGCAAATATATACGTTCCTTTGTCTTTCATTCCTAAATATATTAATTCTGAATGAATCCTTTGATTTCTTTTACTTCGATTCTACGAAATAGAATTTCAAAATTTCCTAAAAGTTGAAAATCTATAGTCAAGAGCCCTTCACCCCCCCAATGTTTTTTTTCCCCATTTATCGAATCAATATTTACATAAACATTTACACTGCACTCGTATAAAAAAATTCTTCACCTCATATTGAGAATTTCCTACAGTATATAGATTTTTATTTTTCTTCACAGTTTTGTCATCTTTGAGCTTAAACGAGAGAAAAACAAAAAAAAAAGAGGAGGGTCCACCTCACATTCTCTTTGAGAGATTTTTTTTCTATATACAAAAAGGATTGTTAGAAAATATTAAAATAATTTCTCGATTAGCATCCAAATCAACACCAAAGCGAGTGGCGCGACATAATGAATCGGCACTGTATAACTTGCATTGAATAAATTACCACATTGACTTTTTAGGGTTACATAATTTTTGACAAGTTCGGCCTTTTCCTCAACGAAGGCATTATATTTTTCCTTAAGTATAACAAGCTCTTCATTAACTTCACGCATTCTTTGTGTCTCATTTTTTGAACGATAATAAATATCTTTTAATTTCTTTAAAATAATTTCATTTTGTTCGCGCATTAACCATTCTTTTAATTCTTTTAATTCTCTTTTAACGATAGTTTGTGCTTCTTGACTGTCCTCCTCCTTCAATGAATCCAAACAACCAATGAGACTTTGAAGAATAAATTCCTGCACTTGTACTGTTTGCGATGAATCACTTTTACTTAATGGTTTCAATGTTTTTATATATTCACCGTCCATTGATTCATTCTCCAGTTCAATCTCGGATTTATTCACATTTTTAACATCTTCCCTCGATGTCGTCGCCGCGGATTCAATGAGATTTAATGGTGAATCTTGAGAATCGGAACTATTATTTCCGGAGTCAATCTCTTTTCTTTCCTCTTCTTCGACTTTTTCTTCTTTTTCCTCCAGTTCGAATCTGTTTACAAAAGAAAAACAAGTATTTACTTTCTTTCAGAATTGAAAAAACAATTTCCGAAAACTTGAAAATATAGAAAAAAAATTACTTTCCGGTTTAAAAAATAAATAAAAATATCCAAATACAAATAAAATAATTATTAATAATCGTCAAATCTATTTTTATTGTTAAACGAGTATTAAAAATAATTGCGAGTCTAAAATACGAGCCTAAATTTAAACAGCAAAAATGATTCTTCCTCATGAATTCCGAGATTTGGCATCCATCGAGAGAATGATCTAATAATAGAAGACAAATTTTCATAGCCCCACAAAGAAACTTTAACTTCTAATAATTTCAATTTTATTTGCCAATTTTTTTCTTTTCCCGAAATTCCCATTCATCATTTCAATATTGTCTACTTTATTATTTTCACACTCTAATATTAATAATTCTAAAATACTTAATAAAATAAAAAGAATAAAAAAAAGAGAACAAAAAAAAGATAAATTCAAATAAAAGATAAAAATTCATAATAATAATATTATTACCGCGATTAATATTTTTAAATTATTTTCTAATTACGAAAAAATTCCTCGTTCAACTAAAATAACCTTTTACGTAATGTAGGAAAACTAGAAACGTTAATACAGTTCTTAGTCACAAAATTCTTAGTCACATATCAAAGTTTTTCTCTCGACTTTTGCTTTTTTGCAATATTACTCGACACAATTATTTATCTCGTTTTTGTTTGCAATTTAAATGCATTTTTTTTTGTTGAAAATTTATTATTATCTTTGAAAGAAATATTTTTTGTGATATAAAATAAAGTGGATTAAAATACGAAATTGAAAAGAAATAAAATAGTTAAGAAATAAAATAGAAAAGAAACAAAATAGAAAAAATACAAAATAGAAAAGAATAAAAATAATACAAAATGGAAAATATAAAATTAAAATAATACAAAATTGACAACATATAAAATAGAAATAATACGAAACGTTCAAATGACCGGAATATTTTTCCTTAGAATATTTTCATAAATTACTGATTGTATTAGAAATTAAAAATCTAAATATAACATTTACAAATTTTTAAATTAATTTGTTTTTATACGGAATGCAAAATGATTGCAATAAAATTTTAATTTGAAGAGAAAATAAATAAATTTTGTTCATTTGAACATTTACAACAGAATTTACAATCTTCTCGACTTTAGAAACAATAAAAAAATAGAAATAATAAAAAATAGAAAAAAAAGAAAAAAAATATTATCCACAAGTTTTAAACGTTCAAATGACCAGAATATTTTTCCTTAAAAATATTTTCATAAATTACAGATTGTATTAGAAATTAAAAATCTAAATTTAACATTTATAAATTTTAAAATTAATTTTTTTTTATACGAAACGCAAAATTATTGAAATAAAATTTTAATTTGAATAAGAAATAAAAAAATTTCGTTTATTTAAACGTTCACAACTTTAGGAACATTAAAAAAATATAAAATTAGAGAAAATAGAAAAAATGCAAAATAGAAAAATATCTACAAAAATTATTATCCACAAGTTTTAAAAGTTAAAAATAATGAAATATTTTTCCTTAAAAATAATTTAGAAATTAATTAATTCCAAAAATTAAAAATCTAAATTTAATATTTAGAAACTTTTAAATTATTTTTTTTTATACGGAACGCACAATTATTGCAATAAAATTTTAATTTGAGGAGAAAATAAATAAATTTTGTTCATTTGAACGTTTACAACAAAAGTTACAACCTTCTCGACTTTAGAAACAATAAAAAAAATAGAAAAATTGGAAAATATAGAAATAATAAAAATTAAAAAATAGAAATAACACAAAATAGAAAAAATGCAACATAGAAATAATAAAAAAAAAATACAAAAAAATACAAAATAGAGAAAATACAAAATAGAAATAATGCGAAATAGAAATAATACGAAAAGATATAAAATCGAAATAATAAAAAATACCAAACAGAAATAATGCAAAATAGAAAAATTATAAAATAAAAAATAAAAAATAAAAATTAGAAATAATACGAAAAAATACAAAATAGACAAAATACAAAACAGAAATAATAAAAAATAAAAAAACAAAAGAAAATTGAAATAATAGAAAACAAAAGAAAATAAAAATTTTAATAAAAACTACAATAAACTGGAATGAAACTGAAAAGAAAAATTAAGTGAAACAGAAAAGAAAATATAAAAAACGCACCTCCTTTCCAATTGTTTTCCCTCCTCATCACTGGCGAATCTCACTTCCAATTTCGAAAGCGTATCACCATTTTCAGTCAACTCCTGCTCCTTTCCATAGACAATTGCATCTCGATCGCACGTTTCCCTGACAGATTCTTGATCATTAACAATAGCTCTTGTCTTAACCTCACAATCATCACTAATTTTCCTGCAATCATCAACAGAAGTACTCTCAGGAATTTCCTTAATTAATTTCTTCGACGGAGATTCATTGTCATTCTCACTGCTTGATGTAGAGTCATTCTTCTCCTCCAAATGTATCGAAGTGACATTACAAACATTACTGTGCTGATCATCATTATCATCAAGGAAAACATTATCCAAATCAAATTCAACATTAAAATTTCTCTTCGACAATTGCTCCTCAATTTCCTTCTTCTCCATTAAAGGATCATCAGCCTCAGACTTTATCGTTTCACCACTGGAAATTTCTAAATTCTCAGCATCAAAATTTCCTGCAATCAACGTTCTTCTCGACGGCGGTAGAATAATGTAGTTATCAAGTTTCTCGCTATCTGTCAATGAATCATTTAATTCACTCTCCTTTGTCAATGAATTGATGGAAATAATTTCCGTTGCTTCTGAATCTGTATCTGAATCAAGGGATATATTTAAATTATCATTATTAACAGTTCCATTGAATAGATTTCTATTAGACGGCGGTAAAATGTATTCTTTAAGTTTCTCACTATCGGTTAATGAATCATTAATTTGATCTTTATACGATAAATCGTCGGTATCGAAATTTTTCATTTCCTCCGAATCCTCTGAATTCACTTGATTATCCTGCCATGTGACGTTATTTTCAATATTATCGTAAATATCCGTTGTTGGTTTTGTGCTGTAAATTAATTTATTCAATATACCGGACATTGTCATTTGTACATCATTAATATCGTCTTTAGATTCTAAATTATCGTCCGTCAATTGTTTTGATTTTACGTCTTGTAATGTTCGCACGTAATTTTTCAAGGCAGTGACTTGTTTATGAACGTTTATTGAATCAATTTTGGAATTTTGTAATTTTGCCTGTAGAACACGTTCAATGCGCGCTTGATCTTTTATTTGTTTGGTGAATTGCTTTTTCTCTTCTTCCATTTTAACAGTCAACTCTTGTAGTTTATCGTCACTTTCCATGAGTTTATTTGTCGTTTCCTGTAATTTTTTCTGTGCTTCCGTATATTTTGCTGCCAATTCTTGTAATTCATTTTGTGTATGTTTCGTCACCTCGTGAAGACTGTGACATTCCTCCTCGGTTTCATTTAAACGCGTTTCCAATTGTATTAGCTTATGTGTCACCTCTATTTTTTCCTGTAAAAAAAACAATTGAATTTGATTTCGTGAATTTGATTTCAATGAAAGTAGGTATAAAATATAGAAAATTACCTGTAAAACTTTTTGTAGAGCATCCTTGGCTGCATTTTGATATTGTGCCTTTTCCTCGTGAAGTTTGACCAGCTCGTTACGAACTTTGTCCTCGGCGAAGTTCTTCGAGAAGAAAACAAGTTGACTCTCGACAGTTTCGACCCTTGACAAAAGTCGATCCTCTTCAATCAGCGCCTTCCACGATTGATTGGCAGCTATTTGGGTATTTTCAACGAGTTGTTGCAGGTACGAGAGTTTATATTGAAGCGCCTGTTCACGTCTATTTGCCTCCTGGACAAATTGATTAAGCATATAGAGATCCTCGAATGTTATTCCAGCAACGGGATCGACGGAATTACTCGAACTCGCCTTCGCCTCCTTTCCATCGGGTAAATAAAGTTTTAATGTAGCAACAATACAACCGTGAGTTAATTTTTTTGTGTCCTCAACGACATTAACTCCAAATTGCACAATATCACCGGAACACACTTCCCTTGCAATAGACTCTTGTCCCGATGAGCTGAGTCTATTATTATTGACAAACGTTCCATTACTACTCTTTGTGTCTTGAAGATAAAATTTACCCGAATCGTACCAAAGAATTGCGTGATTCCTCGACAGGACTTTACAATCGAAAATTGCATTTGACAATGTTGCCTTTGCTCTTGCGACAGATCGGCCAATTTTCATCGGATGATCAAGTAATAATGTACGATCTTGAAATAGATGCGAATTGTCACGACATATTAAAACTCCTTTGGCGATCATTTTGTCGTTTGTAATTAATAATTCGGAGTTTGTTAAATCGTTCGTTAAATTTAGGTTAGTGTCACTCTCCACGGTTGCATTTTTCGTTGGATTAACATAATTGTCAGTTGCTGACAAAATTGATAATCTGTTCTTTACAACCATTGTCGTTGCTGCTTTTCGAGGTGACTCCATTGGGGAAAAAAGAATTGCATAGCACAAATTCAAGTCCATGTGTGGAAAGAGCAGTTACGCCCACACTACTTAAATAACTGGTCATTGAACACGCGTGCATACGAAACTTGGACGATAAGAAAACTCCGAATTGACGTTTTGCTTCTTACGAAATTAGAAGATTGTGAAAAAATCACACTCGACACAGCAGATAAAACGGTATATATCACAACAAATTCACTCTCGAGTTTATCCCTTTATTTCCTCATTGAAACAAAATTTAACAATTTGCAATGTTTTTTCTTTTAAATATAAAAATAAAATTCTTGACACTGTGCGCTGCTTTCGCTCTTTGCTCACAAAATGCTGCTGCTTTCCGACATTACTCGACAGCAGAACGTCATCGTGATGTTGAGACGTTCCTGTCGAGTGGATAGAGCAACATTAAAAGATAAAAACAATAATATTAGTCAATTTTGACAAATGTCGTGTTTAGATTATTAATTAATCTTCTCTACAGCAGTAAATATTGTAAATGAGGTCGTCGTTCACTTTTGTGGGCTGCACCAAACGAAAATAAGGCAGTATTCATACACTAACACAAGGAACGCTTTTACACACACGCCTTTCTTGACAGAAGGAAAAATATCCCTTTAACGAGATGTTAAACTATTATTTCACTCTCTGCAATGTTCACATCAACTTTTTTTTCAAACATAAACTTCTAACTAACGGTTTCACACACCGAGAATGTAGTGTGTAATTCTGTAAAATACGGATCTCAAACCATCATTATAATGATGAACGGAACGACAGAACTGTTTCTTGAAAAACACTGGAAAACGCACTGAAAATACGGTTCACATTCCTGTTCCGTCTCTCTTCTCTCAGTCTCGTATTCCACTATTCCGCTAATTTATCGACCGTACGATATGTACTGTGTGTCACATTAGTATTTCTTTCAGGGAAAAATATTAAAATAATGTTTAGCGAATATGTTTCATTCGCGATATCGCGAATACTTTAATTCTCTGCACGAGTTATATAAACGAGTGCGGGGTGGGATGAACTTTTTAATGAAAGAGACGCCTTTCACAATTAAAACATTCCAGTGACATGGCGAGGAAGATGCGTGCGTACGAGATTTCCGGATGAATGTGAAATTAGCACCACGACTTCAATAAAATTAAGTTTTTTCTTTTTTAAACGTTTGTTGGTCGTTTGATAGTGATTGATAGTAAATAATAAACGTTTGATAGCAATAATTACAAAAGGAAAACAAAAATCAAAATTGCAGTGCTATTTTCACAATGCACCCCAACTATAATAAAAAGCTCATTTATAGTTTGCAAACGTTTGTTGGTTGTTTGATAGTGAATGATAGTATATTTTAAACGTTTGATACTTGAAATATTATTAAATATTAACATTACTAAAAACATTCAACAACCTGACATACCGCACTATGCGCATGCGCAAAACATTTTCCACCGGCAAATTCAAATAATATTCAGAAATCAAGACATTTTTATTCAACAAAAAAAGAAACAAATATAATACTTTAAGTATTCTATTCGTTTGTTGGTCGTTTGATAGTAATTGATATCCGTTTTTTATCGTTTGATAGTAAAAAATAAAAATTCTACAATCGTTTTCATGTTAATTTTAAAATTGTTTATGCTTTGAGTGCTTCAAAAAGTTGTTTTCTATTAAAATTTGTAAATTTAATATTTTGTGTGGTAAAACACAATTCACAAAATTTTTAAATGTTCACTTTTTCCATAAATAATAATATGAAATAAAAATGCTAATTAAAGTTTGATAGTAGAGTGCCATCTTCACGCTGCACTGCATTTTAAAAATTTTTCAAATTTTAAACTTTCATTCGTTTGTTGGTCGTTTGATAGTAATTGATATCCGTTTTTTATCGTTTGATAGTAAAAAATAAAAATTCTACAATCGTTTTCATGTTAATTTTAAAATTGTTTATGCTTTGAGTGCTTCAAAAAGTTGTTTTCTAAAATTTAATATTTTTGTGTGGTAGAACACAATTTACAAAATTTTCAAATCTTCACTTTTTTCCATAAATAATAAAATGAAATAAAAATGCTAATTAAAATTTGATAATAGAGTGCCATCTTCACGCTGCACTGCATTTTAAAAATTTTTCAAATTTTAAACTTTTATTCGTTTGTTGGTCGTTTGATAGTAATTGTTATTCGTTTTTTATCGTTTGATAGTAAAAAATAAAAATTCTACAATCGTTTTCATATTAATTTTAAAATTGTTTATGCTTTGAGTGCTTCAAAAAGTTGTTTTCTATTAAAATTTGTAAATTTAATATTTTGTGTGGTAAAACACAATTCACAAAATTTTTAAATGTTCACTTTTTCCATAAATAATAATATGAAATAAAAATGCTAATTAAAGTTTGATAGTAGAGTGCCATCTTCACGCTACACTGCATTTTAAAAATTTTTCAAATTTTAAACTTTTATTCGTTTGTTGGTCGTTTGATAGTAATTGATATCCGTTTTTTATCGTTTGATAGTAAAAAATAAAAATTCTACAATCGTTTTCATGTTAATTTTAAAATTGTTTATGCTTTGAGTGCTTCAAAAAGTTGTTTTCTAAAATTTAATATTTTTGTGTGGTAGAACACAATTTACAAAATTTTCAAATCTTCACTTTTTTCCATATATAATAAAATGAAATAAAAATGCTAATTAAAATTTGATAATAGAGTGCCATCTTCACGCTGCACTGCATTTTAAAAATTTTTCAAATTTTAAACTTTTATTCGTTTGTTGGTCGTTTGATAGTAATTGTTATTCGTTTTTTATCGTTTGATAGTAAAAAATAAAAATTCTACAATCGTTTTCATATTAATTTTAAAATTGTTTATGCTTTGAGTGCTTCAAAAAGTTGTTTTCTAAAATTTAATATTTTTGTGTGGTAGAACACAATTTACAAAATTTTCAAATCTTCACTTTTTTCCATAAATAATAAAATGAAATAAAAATGCTAATTAAAATTTGATAATAGAGTGCCATCTTCACGCTGCACTGCATTTTAAAAATTTTTCAAATTTTAAACTTTTATTCGTTTGTTGGTCGTTTGATAGTAATTGTTATTCGTTTTTTATCGTTTGATAGTAAAAAATAAAAATTCTACAATCGTTTTCATGTTAATTTTAAAATTGTTTATGCTTTGAGTGCTTCAAAAAGTTGTTTTCTAAAATTTAATATTTTTGTGTGGTAGAACACAATTTACAAAATTTTCAAATCTTCACTTTTTTCCATAAATAATAAAATGAAATAAAAATGCTAATTAAAATTTGATAATAGAGTGCCATCTTCACGCTGCACTGCATTTTAAAAATTTTTCAAATTTTAAACTTTTATTCGTTTGTTGGTCGTTTGATAGTAATTGTTATTCGTTTTTTATCGTTTGATAGTAAAAAATAAAAATTCTACAATCGTTTTCATATTAATTTTAAAATTGTTTATGCTTTGAGTGCTTCAAAAAGTTGTTTTCTATTAAAATTTGTAAATTTAATATTTTGTGTGGTAAAACACAATTCACAAAATTTTTAAATGTTCACTTTTTCCATAAATAATAATATGAAATAAAAATGCTAATTAAAGTTTGATAGTAGAGTGCCATCTTCACGCTACACTGCATTTTAAAAATTTTTCAAATTTTAAACTTTTATTCGTTTGTTGGTCGTTTGATAGTAATTGATATCCGTTTTTTATCGTTTGATAGTAAAAAATAAAAATTCTACAATCGTTTTCATGTTAATTTTAAAATTGTTTATGCTTTGAGTGCTTCAAAAAGTTGTTTTCTAAAATTTAATATTTTTGTGTGGTAGAACACAATTTACAAAATTTTCAAATCTTCACTTTTTTCCATATATAATAAAATGAAATAAAAATGCTAATTAAAATTTGATAATAGAGTGCCATCTTCACGCTGCACTGCATTTTAAAAATTTTTCAAATTTTAAACTTTTATTCGTTTGTTGGTCGTTTGATAGTAATTGTTATTCGTTTTTTATCGTTTGATAGTAAAAAATAAAAATTCTACAATCGTTTTCATATTAATTTTAAAATTGTTTATGCTTTGAGTGCTTCAAAAAGTTGTTTTCTAAAATTTAATATTTTTGTGTGGTAGAACACAATTTACAAAATTTTCAAATCTTCACTTTTTTCCATAAATAATAAAATGAAATAAAAATGCTAATTAAAATTTGATAATAGAGTGCCATCTTCACGCTGCACTGCATTTTAAAAATTTTTCAAATTTTAAACTTTTATTCGTTTGTTGGTCGTTTGATAGTAATTGTTATTCGTTTTTTATCGTTTGATAGTAAAAAATAAAAATTCTACAATCGTTTTCATGTTAATTTTAAAATTGTTTATGCTTTGAGTGCTTCAAAAAGTTGTTTTCTAAAATTTAATATTTTTGTGTGGTAGAACACAATTTACAAAATTTTCAAATCTTCACTTTTTTCCATAAATAATAAAATGAAATAAAAATGCTAATTAAAATTTGATAATAGAGTGCCATCTTCACGCTGCACTGCATTTTAAAAATTTTTCAAATTTTAAACTTTTATTCGTTTGTTGGTCGTTTGATAGTAATTGTTATTCGTTTTTTATCGTTTGATAGTAAAAAATAAAAATTCTACAATCGTTTTCATATTAATTTTAAAATTGTTTATGCTTTGAGTGCTTCAAAAAGTTGTTTTCTATTAAAATTTGTAAATTTAATATTTTGTGTGGTAAAACACAATTCACAAAATTTTTAAATGTTCACTTTTTCCATAAATAATAAAATGAAATAAAAATGCTAATTAAAATTTGATAATAGAGTGCCATCTTCACGCTGCACTGCATTTTAAAAATTTTTCAAATTTTAAACTTTTATTCGTTTGTTGGTCGTTTGATAGTAATTGATATCCGTTTTTTATCGTTTGATAGTAAAAAATAAAAATTCTACAATCGTTTTCATGTTAATTTTAAAATTGTTTATGCTTTGAGTGCTTCAAAAAGTTGTTTTCTAAAATTTAATATTTTTGTGTGGTAGAACACAATTTACAAAATTTTCAAATCTTCACTTTTTTCCATAAATAATAAAATGAAATAAAAATGCTAATTAAAATTTGATAATAGAGTGCCATCTTCACGCTACACTGCATTTTAAAAATTTTTCAAATTTTAAACTTTTAATCGTTTGATAGTAATTGATAGTCGTTTTTTATCGTTTGATAGTCAAGAATAAATATTCTACAATTATTTTCATGTTGATTTTAAAACTGTTTATGCATTAAGTGCTTTAAAATGTTGTTTTCTATTAATATTACCTGTTTTAATCAAATTTATTGAGAATTTTATATTTAAAGAATTTTAATTATTTTTTTTTCTTTAAATACTGCAATTAATACAGTATTTAATGCATAATATTCTATTGGTATAATAAATAATGATACCTTTCCATATTTAACGTATATTTGTTTTATATTTCCGAGATTTTTAATTCAAGTTATACATAGATGTTTTGTAATAAAAGTATGTATCTATTTAGTTTTATAATTGCTTTTTTACATCGATATTTAAAAAATATTTATAACATTACATGTTTTATATTATTATTATACTTATCAATACTACTTTTTTTTTTGCTTTTAGCAAAGTAGTTGTTTATGTACAAAATTGTTTTGCATTGAAAAGTTGTGATTTTAATGTTTTAATGAAAAGGTTTTGAAGTATATTTTTCTGCTTTTTATACTTTTATGTATACTAATGCGTACGGTGTAAAAAAAAAAAGTAGTATTGATAAGTATAATAATAATATAAAACATGTAATGTTATAAATATTTTTTAAATATCGATGTAAAAAAGCAATTATAAAACTAAATAGATACATACTTTTATTACAAAACATCTATGTATAACTTGAATTAAAAATCTCGGAAATATAAAACAAATATACGTTAAATATGGAAAGGTATCATTATTTATTATACCAATAGAATATTATGCATTAAATACTGTATTAATTGCAGTATTTAAAGAAAAAAAAATAATTAAAATTCTTTAAATATAAAATTCTCAATAAATTTGATTAAAACAGGTAATATTAATAGAAAACAACATTTTAAAGCACTTAATGCATAAACAGTTTTAAAATCAACATGAAAATAATTGTAGAATATTTATTCTTGACTATCAAACGATAAAAAACGACTATCAATTACTATCAAACGATTAAAAGTTTAAAATTTGAAAAATTTTTAAAATGCAGTGTAGCGTGAAGATGGCACTCTATTATCAAATTTTAATTAGCATTTTTATTTCATTTTATTATTTATGGAAAAAAGTGAAGATTTGAAAATTTTGTAAATTGTGTTCTACCACACAAAAATATTAAATTTTAGAAAACAACTTTTTGAAGCACTCAAAGCATAAACAATTTTAAAATTAACATGAAAACGATTGTAGAATTTTTATTTTTTACTATCAAACGATAAAAAACGGATATCAATTACTATCAAACGACCAACAAACGAATAAAAGTTTAAAATTTGAAAAATTTTTAAAATGCAGTGCAGCGTGAAGATGGCACTCTATTATCAAATTTTAATTAGCATTTTTATTTCATTTTATTATTTATGGAAAAAGTGAACATTTAAAAATTTTGTGAATTGTGTTTTACCACACAAAATATTAAATTTACAAATTTTAATAGAAAACAACTTTTTGAAGCACTCAAAGCATAAACAATTTTAAAATTAATATGAAAACGATTGTAGAATTTTTATTTTTTACTATCAAACGATAAAAAACGAATAACAATTACTATCAAACGACCAACAAACGAATAAAAGTTTAAAATTTGAAAAATTTTTAAAATGCAGTGCAGCGTGAAGATGGCACTCTATTATCAAATTTTAATTAGCATTTTTATTTCATTTTATTATTTATGGAAAAAAGTGAAGATTTGAAAATTTTGTAAATTGTGTTCTACCACACAAAAATATTAAATTTTAGAAAACAACTTTTTGAAGCACTCAAAGCATAAACAATTTTAAAATTAACATGAAAACGATTGTAGAATTTTTATTTTTTACTATCAAACGATAAAAAACGAATAACAATTACTATCAAACGACCAACAAACGAATAAAAGTTTAAAATTTGAAAAATTTTTAAAATGCAGTGCAGCGTGAAGATGGCACTCTATTATCAAATTTTAATTAGCATTTTTATTTCATTTTATTATATATGGAAAAAAGTGAAGATTTGAAAATTTTGTAAATTGTGTTCTACCACACAAAAATATTAAATTTTAGAAAACAACTTTTTGAAGCACTCAAAGCATAAACAATTTTAAAATTAACATGAAAACGATTGTAGAATTTTTATTTTTTACTATCAAACGATAAAAAACGGATATCAATTACTATCAAACGACCAACAAACGAATAAAAGTTTAAAATTTGAAAAATTTTTAAAATGCAGTGTAGCGTGAAGATGGCACTCTACTATCAAACTTTAATTAGCATTTTTATTTCATATTATTATTTATGGAAAAAGTGAACATTTAAAAATTTTGTGAATTGTGTTTTACCACACAAAATATTAAATTTACAAATTTTAATAGAAAACAACTTTTTGAAGCACTCAAAGCATAAACAATTTTAAAATTAATATGAAAACGATTGTAGAATTTTTATTTTTTACTATCAAACGATAAAAAACGAATAACAATTACTATCAAACGACCAACAAACGAATAAAAGTTTAAAATTTGAAAAATTTTTAAAATGCAGTGCAGCGTGAAGATGGCACTCTATTATCAAATTTTAATTAGCATTTTTATTTCATTTTATTATTTATGGAAAAAAGTGAAGATTTGAAAATTTTGTAAATTGTGTTCTACCACACAAAAATATTAAATTTTAGAAAACAACTTTTTGAAGCACTCAAAGCATAAACAATTTTAAAATTAACATGAAAACGATTGTAGAATTTTTATTTTTTACTATCAAACGATAAAAAACGGATATCAATTACTATCAAACGACCAACAAACGAATGAAAGTTTAAAATTTGAAAAATTTTTAAAATGCAGTGCAGCGTGAAGATGGCACTCTACTATCAAACTTTAATTAGCATTTTTATTTCATATTATTATTTATGGAAAAAGTGAACATTTAAAAATTTTGTGAATTGTGTTTTACCACACAAAATATTAAATTTACAAATTTTAATAGAAAACAACTTTTTGAAGCACTCAAAGCATAAACAATTTTAAAATTAACATGAAAACGATTGTAGAATTTTTATTTTTTACTATCAAACGATAAAAAACGGATATCAATTACTATCAAACGACCAACAAACGAATAGAATACTTAAAGTATTATATTTGTTTCTTTTTTTGTTGAATAAAAATGTCTTGATTTCTGAATATTATTTGAATTTGCCGGTGGAAAATGTTTTGCGCATGCGCATAGTGCGGTATGTCAGGTTGTTGAATGTTTTTAGTAATGTTAATATTTAATAATATTTCAAGTATCAAACGTTTAAAATATACTATCATTCACTATCAAACAACCAACAAACGTTTGCAAACTATAAATGAGCTTTTTATTATAGTTGGGGTGCATTGTGAAAATAGCACTGCAATTTTGATTTTTGTTTTCCTTTTGTAATTATTGCTATCAAACGTTTATTATTTACTATCAATCACTATCAAACGACCAACAAACGTTTAAAAAAGAAAAAACTTAATTTTATTGAAGTCGTGGTGCTAATTTCACATTCATGATTTCCGGATTGAATAAATGTTTAACACTGTACATTGTACATCACCCCACATGTAATTGTCAAAAAACGTGCACTTAATTATTTATTAATTAGGACCATTAGTCCAGTGTTATTAAGTTGGCTTCGAAATTCATTAATTGCTTCATTTACAATACATACACATTTTAAACTAGACTTGATATTTAATTTCGATCAAAATAGAAAATTATCAAAATCATTAATTTATCGATATTTTTGACAATTTTGTGTAAATAACCTTTTCTGTTAAATTAGACTTAGAACTTTTGTTTTTAAAATATTTGAAGGACAAACATTCACCTATTTATCGTACGTACCCTAATATACCAACCGAACTTTCTAAATTTAAATCATTGTTCTATTCTACGATATATTTATTTTCAAATTTATATTATTTTTCATTTAAATGTCAAAATTTAGTCTTACTTAAAAAATAACATACTTTTATCGAACAATGATAAAAATAAATTCTTTAAAAAAGTTTGAAATTTCCATAAAAAAAATTTGTTTAAACGATGACAAAGTTGAAAATTTGATTTAAATTTATAGGAAAAATCAATATTTTATTGCGAAATATGATTTTCTGGTGATTCTTATGGATTTCGCGATAGTAAAATTTAGGGTCAATGTTTTTCAGATGGAACATAATTTAAAGGACTGATGCACTTGGAGAATAAAGACATAACCTTAAATACAATTTGTTGTAATTTGTAAAGGTTGTTATAAAATGTATAAATAGTTTTTCTCGTTTTCATTGACAAAAATAAATGTCAAAGGTTAAAATTTAGTAATCAAGGTTTAATATTAATTAACTAATTAATTAAAGTGTAAGCATTCTGTATTTTATCTAATTTCTCTTGAAAGTAACGCAAACAAAGACAAAAGTCAAATTTATGTCAAAAGTTTGAAAAGACCTTTGTTTTTATATTTATGTTTAGATTTACGCATAGTATTTACTAAAATTTCTCTGATTTCAAACTTCAATTGATTACATTCATTACATTGTATAATTTATATAGAATTTGAGGGAATTTACCGAATTTACCATAATGTCAAAAAGTGTTTTGTAACATAACCTAATTTTGTTCGAATACCTTTTTTACAATTGTCACAATTAAAATTTAACTTTTTGCATTTATTTTTAAAAATAGTTAATTTTAAGTTAACCAAGATTCAAGATTATAGGAAAAAAATATTTATTCTAGACTAATCATGTCAGACGAGGAGGATTATATGTCTGACAAATTCTTGCAAGAGTGCCAAAAATATGTAGCACCAAGTTTAATATTTCGTCCGGAGGATAAACGAGAAATGGAACTAATGAAAAAAAAAGCGGAAATAGAAGCAAGATTAAAGGAAAGAAAACCCGTGAAAGTGATCGAAGAAGAGAAACGAGAAGAAGGACTTTCCTCCGCAATATCCAGTGACAATAAAGGTATAAAAACTTTTCTTTCAGAGAAAAATATTTTCTTTAATTTAAAATAACAGGCATCAAAGTACCTTTTTTCCTCAAAAAAAAAGGTAAAAAGGGGAATTTTTTCTCAAAAAGGGGACAAAAATTTATTTGTTTATACAAATTGCATATATAAATAAAATTTTTTATCATATATAGCTTCTATAAAATTTTTTAAAAATGATTCGATTTTAATCAGTTGTCCCAAAAATTTAATTTTGTTTCTTCCTGACTTTTCCCTGATTTCCAATCAAAATTTTGACTTTTTCCCGAAAGAATATTCGGCGATTCACTCTAAAAATGATTAAATACTCAAAAAAATGTTCCTATTTAATTTATTTACGAATTTCTTTAACTGTAAAATTATTCGAAAACAGTAATATTTTTATTTTTACTGTAACTTCTTCAAAATTATTTTCATCATTTCAATTCAATTAGTATTTTCTAGAGTTTTTAAATGCATTTGTTTACAATTAAATTTTACGAAATATTTAGATAATTAAATTCTTTCTACGAATTTAAATAAAATTATTAAAAATAATAACATAAAAATGTTATTTTTTTAATTAATAAAAATTTTACTAAAAATAATTGAAATTCTGGGCTGATTTTGATTATTGATGAAAATAATGGAATTATTGCGAAGAAATTGTAAATAATAGAATTCCTGTGAAATTATTTTATTATTTATGAAAATAATCAAACGTTTGCGTAGAATTTTAATAAAAATTTTTTTTAAATAATTGAATTCTTTTGGAGAATTTTATTAAATATTGAATATCATTGAATTTAGAAAAATTTTTGCAAATAATTGAAATTTTGACAAAAATTTTATTAAAATTTTTAAAAATAATTGAATTTTGAAGAAGAATTTTATTATTTATAAAGAGAATTGAAATTTTGACGAGAATTACTTTAAATTTTTTAATATAATTAAATTTCTGCGAAGAATTTCATTACTTTTGAAAATAATTGAATTTTTGCAATCATTTGAAACTTCTCCAAAATTCAAATTTTTTTCTAGTGTTTTTAACTAAATTTCCTTGTTAATTTATTATTAATTATTAAATTATTAAATTTATCTCAAACGAAATTTTAATCTTATAAATAAAAAAATAAATTTGACTAAAAATTCCAGGTTTCGAAATGCTAATGAAAATGGGATACAATCCAGGAAAGGGTTTGGGAAAAACAGAGACTGGCATATCAGAACCAATTGGAGTTGACGTAAAAAATAATAGACACGGCCTAGGCAAGGAAAAAGTGATGAAAATAAAAAAAAATACAAATCCAATTGCGAATTTAGAAAAAATGAATGCCGACGAATTTCGTAAGCGAATAGCCGATAAAAAAGCTGAGCAAGTCGCCGCAATGGATTTGCGTAAGAGTCAAAAAATTTGCGAACAACTTGATATTCGATGTAAAATTGAGAAAGCAGTGGAAAATTGGTTTTGGTTTCCAAAAGAAAAGGAGGGCAAAGAATTTGAGGAGAGCGAAAGTAGTGAGGAGGACGATGACGACGAGACACTTCGAGATAGTGAAAAATTAGAAATTCTCACCAAATATTTACGTGGAAAATATTTTTATTGCATTTGGTGTGGCGTTGCCTATGATAATGAGGACGATTTGAGGGAAACTTGTCCCGGAAATACGAGGAGTGATCACTAATTATTTCCACATAAAAAAATATTTATCAAATTTTCCCCTATTTTTCTATTTCTTTTTCATAACTAGTTTTTTTACAAGATTAAGTTCTTGTTCTTTAAAGAATACTTTTTTTTCTTTAACAAGAAATTTTCTATGATTCTTCCAAATAATTTGTTTTATAATTTAACTACTTACAGTATAATTGTAAATAAACTTATAGATTTATCAAAAAAACCAGTGTCAATTAAAAATTTAGTTACGATTCGATATAATTTTAAAAAAAAATATTAATAGTGTGCACCACGTAAGAATAACATAAAAAAGCCATTAAGGCACTTAATGCAAAATAAAGTGCTTTGTCAAGAAAAACTGATCAATTACCAACAAAACTTGGAGGGAAATGATCTCAGATGAAGAATGCTGTTAGTTTCTTAGCAGGAGTTCTCGACACCCTTGAGTTTTAGGTGGGAAAAACAGTTTATAAAAGCTTCTGATATTGAATTTCTCTCTTCACTCATCATTCGAATTTTGATTTCACAACTGGGAATTGCAAAATTTTTCTCTAAAAGAAATCAAGAAAAAAAATTTCCCTTCCTTTTTGGAGAGAGAGATAAAAAAGTTTTCTTAATAATGATCAAAATTATTATGTACATCCTAACGATAACGTCAATTTGTAAAATTTGTGTCAACAGTCAAATTGAAAGCGAGGAAAATTGTGAAACACTCCAATCGGAAATACACATTGCAAAAGGTAATTATTGTACAAAAAAAAATTAAAGTTCAAAAAAATATGTTAAAGAAAAATTCAAATATTTAAAATAATTTTTTTTCAGACGAAAAAGACGAAACGGGAGGATTAATAAGAACATGCAGTACCGATATTTTAGTAACAAAATGTGAAGGTTCGTGTAATTCCCAAGTACAACCGAGCGTTAAGACAAGTACCGGATTTCTAAAGGTAAGAATGAAAAAAAATTTACCAAATTCACATAAATTGATTTTTTGAAAACTCATTCAAAAAGTATTTTCAGTAAAATTGATATTTTAATTACAGGAATGTTTCTGCTGTAGAGAAAGTTATTTAAAGGAACGGCTTATACTTTTAGATCATTGTTATGATGTAGATGGAGTTCGACTTGAAGGTGAAATACTTGGAACAATGGAGATAAAATTAAGGGAACCAGCTGAATGTAAATGCACCAAGTGCGGAGGATTTTCAAGATAAAGAAAGCGAGACGAAAATAAAAATTTCTACCACCCAAAAAAAGAAGAAATAATAATTCCGTTTCAAGAGCAACTTAGAATATTTCAAAAATTCCTAAAATTATAATTGAAAAAGAAGAAAGAAAAATTGAAATATACAATAATAATGAATAGCAGAATTTTGCTGTGATAATATAATTAAAATAATAATAATTATTATTAAAACTTATAGTATCAAAAAAAAACTGAATAATGTTCCTGTGTGTATCATTATTTATAACTGTACAATTTAATCACACAATCATTTGTGATTAGTATTAGAGAATAAAACATTTTATAAATATTTCATTAGTTTTCACTGTCCTTTCGATAAAATTACGATATTGTTTTATAAATAAAATATTTTATCTTCTTAGTAAATAAAAATGAAAAACCTCTGGTCTTTGTAACTTTTTGTTAATTAATAAATAAATAAATATATAACTTACATTTTAAGTAAATAAAAATAAAACTACTTGTATTCTAAATTTAAATTAATTAAAAATCATAACTAATTTAATATTAAATTTTTACTTTTTCTCAATTTTGTTAATTATTTTCATAAATAGTCGAATTTTTAAAATCAAATTTATTTGCAAAAATAATTATTCACTCCAAATAATCGAAACTATTTGAATATCAATTTCTTTTATTACAAAAAATAATTTAGCAAAAAGGATCAAAAAAACTTTTTTTTTACCAAAAGGAAATAATAATTAATTGCATAGTTTAATTAATATTCAAAAATTCAAATACTTTAAATGAAATAAAATAATATGTTAATAAAAATATTAAAATTAAACAAATTTCGTTCCTATATTTTTGAAATAAATAAACCAAAATTTAATTTACAATTTAATTTACAATCAGGTCAATTAAATCTTGTTGAGGGAAAATTCGGATAATTTCCAATATTTATTATTTCAATAATTGAAATTATCCGAATTTTTTCGACAACTTTTTATTTATTAAAAAAATGTCAATCTACTTAAAAATTAAATTATTTCTTATATTTAATAAGATTTTTACTGATTTTTAATTAATAAACAAAAAAATATAAATCGATAATTCTAAACAGAATTAATTTCTATTTTCTAAATATAAAATATTTTGAATTGTGTTTATTTATTTTAAATTATTTTATTTAACTAATAAATAATAGAATTAGTTCAATTAAAATCAATACTTTAATAATTTAAATTATTCAAAATTGAGTTTTGAATTCATTTCTTGAATTTTTAATTAAAATGAAAAATTCTAACACTGAATGCATAATATAAAAATAAAAAAAAACTAATTCATAATTTTTCAACGAATTTTACAGCTAAAATAATAAATAATTTATAAATGAAAATCCAAATTTACTAAGATTTAAAATTCTAAATTTAAATATTAGTATTTAAATAAAATAGTTGAATTATTCAGTTATATTTTGTATTAAAAATTTTATCATTTTGAAATATGAACTGAAAAATTTTTAATTTGAGCATAAACGCTTAAAATAAGAAAATAAGAATTAATCACAGAATAAATGGAGTCATTTTAGAAAACATAAATTAAAAATTTAACGACAAACGAAGAAATCAATAAATTGACGAAATTTTCAATTTAAACACGAACAAGAATAAGGCATTAAACGAATCTTGTTTCTAAATTGTTGCACAGCAGGAATTTTCAAACTACAAGAAGTGATGAAAGTAATTCTGAATCGTATACGATAATAAACGGTAAAAAAAGAAAATAAATTAACCAATAAATCCAAAATTTTCTTCTTCAATTATACAAACGTTTGAAGTATCAAATTTTGCGAGAAAAAAAACTCTTTTCCCTTCTTCAATTACAGGTATTTCATAATGTCTTTTTCCTTTCGATAAAAAAAGGAAAAAAACAATTTTCTTTAACCCATGTTCTCAAGAAACAAGAGGAGGGTTGTAATACCAGGGGGTTGGTATATAAAAGTACAAGATAAATTTCCCATTTTCTCAGTAGGAATCTGTCTACTTGAGAGTAAAATGTTCCAAACTCGAGAAATACGCAACAGATTCGGTAAATAAAAAAAAAGTGTAAATAAGTTTTAACTTTTTTTTTTACAACTAATACTTTTTTTGTAACTAAAAAAAATGAGTTTTCAATTTTATTCGTACTTACCGAAACAGGAATTTCAGGGCTGTTAATATTCTGCTTAATTGGAAACGTGAAAGCAATTGTTGGTGTCGATGAATGTCAAATCACCCGGGTTATTCACGTGCTGCAGTATCCAGGATGTGTTCCGAAACCGATTCCCAGTTTTGCTTGCACTGGACGCTGTAGTAGTTATGTGCAGGTAAATTTAATCTAAAAACAACGTATTTTCTCTAATTTACGAATATTCACATTAACTATTCAAAATGTATATTATAAATTATTACACAACATTCAATTAAACCGAGAAAAAAAAATAGATAAGCAAGTTTTTTTTAAGTTACTTATAAAAGTGCTTATCTCACAACTTTAACAACTTAAATAATAAACAAAATTGAAATAAAAAGTTCGCTTAAAATACTTCTCAAAGCGGAAAATATACATCGTAATAATTAAATCCTTTTAATGAAATAGTATTTTTAATATTTACCACCGAATTGTCAAAAGTGATTAAAACTTGTTTCTATCACAAATGTTTAAAATTTCGAATTAAGAATTTCAATTTGATTAAATATTTAAATAAACTAAAAATATCAATTTGTTTTCGTTGTTCAAAACATTGCGCATATTGAAAACTTTTTCGCGCAATTTCTTGTAGTTTTGACTTTACAGGAAATTGGGCGAAAAAAGTGAGGTAATAATTCTTATAAAAGAAATTTAATCAAATTTTTGTCACTTTTACAAGAATTTACATTATTTTGTAGACTAAAGAAAAACAAAATTTAACAAACAAACAAAGATTCAGTGTTCAAAACACTGAATTAACTTATGGAAAAAGATACAAATTTCTTGCGAGTGGAGTGAATGTTTCTATTCTAACTGATAAATTAAATATTCTTCCTTGTTAATAAAATGAAACAAACCTTATTTTTTAGGTGTCTGGATCGAAAATTTGGCAAATGGAGAGAAGTTGCATGTGTTGTCAAGAAAGCGGTGAAAGAGAGGCGAGCGTTTCACTTTTTTGCCCAAAAGCAAAGCCCGGTGAGCGTAAATTCAGAAAGGTATGTTTAATAAAGATGAATTCAAGTTTTATTCTTCAAAATCATTGAAATTGATGTTAAACACAACATTCTTTATGGAAAAATACACTTTAAAAACTTCACAAAATATAACTTTTCTCGCACGAGATCCTTAGGCAGCCATCTTGCTTTTAAGCTTCGTTCACAAGCCGCTAGAAGCGCTATAGTCAATTGCCCGCGAAAAATTCAAAATTCATTTGCTTTTTTTACAACTTCGCATATATTTAAATATATTGAATTAATTAAATTAATTAAAACAGGTACTAATAAAAAATCAATAACAAAGCATGATTTTAGAATAATTTAAAATAATTTTAGGTAGCAACGAAAGCACCCATTGAATGCATGTGTCGACCATGTACAGGAGTCGAAGAATATTCAATAGTTCCACAGGAAATTGCAGGATTTTCTGAAGAAGGACCACTCACGACTTCTGCACACTTTAGAAGGTCTTCGGGCTTACAATAAAATTAATTGCAAAATTTATCCTCTAAATAAAATACTGTTTTTTTACTATTAATTAATTGATAATTAAAAATATTTTTCAGAATTCATACACAGTGTAGAAAATAATTTTTATATTGAAAAAAGGCAATTAAACTACAATATAATACAATAATATAATAATTTTATTATTAAAATTACAAATTTGTTTTGAACAAATATTGTTTTGTTATAAAATATTTAAGTGAAAAATACTAAAAACAAGACCTCATTTGTGATGAGAACGTAATACAATTTTTTTTCTTTCACATTTATCAACGACTAGTTATCGTTTACTATATTTAAAGTTTTAAACAATTTTCACTTATTCTTTTTGGTTTTTATTAACTCTAATACTTCGATTTAAGGCTGATATTTAGTCTTAAAATATTTTGTCTTCATTAAAATACTGACAATAAAAAAGCACTTGAGCTGTTTCTTCTTCAAAAACTTCTTCGGCTTCCTCCAATGATAGAAAAAGACATGTAAATGCTTTTAAAGCTTCTTCCTTTCTGTCACGTTCAGCTTCATCGTCATTCGTTTCCCACGAGATCAAGGCCATTATCCTCACTCAATTTTTCGAAAATCTTCAAAAGCAGCCCTAGTTGAAAAAACATTATTAGTTAAAAATTGAGAAAGTTTCAAAAATAAAATTACTTACCAGTTGATGCTTCAAAAGTAGCAGCCATGAGAACTCTAACAAATTTTGGGTCAAGAACTTTGTCTGGAACATTATTCTGTAACAGAAAAATAATATTTATATTTTTTTATTATGAATTCAATTTTATATTATCAGAAAAGTTCGAGTGTTATTCATTATAAAATACACACCTTTATCCAAGTTACAACATCATCATCCATTGTCTTACTGCCAGCCTTAATCAATTTTACAAGATCAGCATGAATTTGTTCAAAAGATATAACCTTTTCTTTCACGAGTGCTTGTAATTTCTGTAAAAAAAATATAAATTTTCAATCAAAATTCATGAAAGAAAGAAAAAAATATAATAAATCAGAATTAATATAATTAGGTTAAAATTATATTAAAAAGGTGTCATTTTTGATATTAATAAATAATAATAATAGTAGAGCAGCCATTTGGTTTAATTATTACGTTGTAAATTTTCAACAGTACTTGGTACGATTGGGCTTTAAAGCCCGTGTATTTTGAATAAATAAATAAATAAATAAAAAATTATAACGAAGTGTAAATTAATTATTTTCCAGAAACTTTAAATAGAAAAGCACTTACATAATTCTTGATGATTTCGTCAATATTTTCTCGTTCTCCATTAATAAGATCACTTATTAGAAGTTTACTACTATTCCACTTTTCAACAAGGACTTCTGATCCACAAATTATAGCCATTTTGGAGAATAATTCACCTACTAATTTCCCACTTTGACCTCTACTTCTTAAACTAGCCAAGGTAATGGGCAATTCAGCAAGCGGATGAGTTTCGTCAATCACAAGGTGAACTAAAAAAATGCGAAAAAGAAATTATAAATAAGATTCGATTTTAAAAATTATTAAAATACGTTAATAATTTGCTTTGAAAAGCATCAGCCCTGTTGAGCATTGAAACCAGCATGGAATAATTTTTATGGTCAATATTTGTCATCATAAGAATTAAGTTAATTAATAATTAAATATATAATTAGAATTATGTACGTAAATACATGATTTACAAAAAAAACTTATTAAAAAAAATGAAAAATACAACTTACCAAAAAGGTCGGCGAAGTTAAACAGGATTTTCGGAATACCAATTATTAAATCATCGACTGATTCAAGAACTTCACCAAATCTGAAAAAATTTTACTCGTGAAATCTTTGTCAATTACTAAAAAAAATATAGTTAAGTATTAAAAAATACAATCAGTATCCTTTTGGCTAAAAATTCACAATGAGTATAATATACACATTTATTTTAGAACAATTTTCATCATACATTTTTCCAAAAAATAAATTAAATCAATGGTCTTCTATTTTCTTTTGCTATAAATAATGATTTTTTCCCTTATAAGTATATTATTCTATTTTAAAAAAATTTCTTAATTTTTAAAAAAAACCCACCAAAAGTTGAATTTTAAAACAATTGTCTACAATTAGGATTATAGTAGTTTTTTTTTAATTTTCTAAGAATTTGAATAAAATTTCTAAAATTTTGAGCTTAATTTACAAGTCAAATAAGAGTTGGAGATTTGTAATCACTTACCCTCTTCGGAAATCGTTCAAAGTAATTAATTTTTTGGTGATAAGGAAGGACAATAGTTTTGATACTGATTCACGTGCATTGACAGATTTGCCAAAAATTTCGTTAACTATTTCACGAATCACTGCTGGCAATTGTGAAGTTGGGAAATGTTGTTTAATTTCGAGTACAACATACTGTAAGAAAAAAAAAATTCTTTATTAGAAATCAAATACTAATTTAATAGAAAAATGAAAGAAGCAATAAAATGAAAGTAAAAAATGAAAGAAGAGCTTGAAAAATATTATTTTCGAAAATATTGATTTCCAAATAATTATTTTTTTATTTTTAATGCGATTTTTCTCAGTTAAAAATAAATGAAAAAAACATTTCTATTACTTACATCACCATTGCCCTCGGTGATATATTCCTCGACGAACATATGAACAATTGATCGGAGTTCATCCAATGATTTTTCTGGTTTATTACGTTCTCGTATCAACCTTGGCCGTGAAAGTTGGAGCGGATTACGTTTTTCTTGATCAAACGATGAAATATTTTCTAGGGCTGAACATTTAATTTGCATTTTTGTGGATCCTACAGAAGGAATATTCTTATTCCACATAGTATAAGTATTCCTATTTTCTAATTGAAGATCGTCCATTAAAGGCTGTAACAAAAGAAGAAAACAAAGAATGGTGAAAAATTCGAAATAACTAATCCAAAAAGAAATTATTTCCAAGTAAAATAATTGCATCAGAATTTTTCAAAAATCACGTTTTCATCAGAAACTCCAGTCTGGCATGACAATGAAGTATCATCAGAATACAATTATTAAAATTTATATTAATTGAACCTAAAATTAATTTAATTTAATTTTTATTACGATTAAAAATATAAATTATCAAAAATTTTAAAAAATTATTTAAATTGCTTTCTAATAAAGGAAATAGTTTATTTACTATTTTATTAATAAATTAAATTTACCTATTAATAAAAGAGCTTTTTACGTGACTATAATTTGTTTTTTCAAATATAAAATAAATTGTAATACTTACAGATTTAGTTTTTATTTTCGAAGTATCACAAGAGTATGAAGCTCTCGATCGAACTGGCTGAATCGAACCACCATTTCCGGAAGACCCTGCCATTCCACCTGAAAATATAAATATTTCTTAATAAAGAAAAAATAATTTTTAATAAATAATTTTAAATTTTTATTTTAATTTTTTTTTTAATAAATAATTTTTCTTATAAATATTTCTTTACAACTACGCTGTAAAAACGAATTGCAAATTAATTTTTAATTTTCATTAATTCCGTCAGAATTTTTGTCAACAATCACGTCTAATCAAAAATTCCAGCCTATCATGACATTATATGTATCATCATAAGAATTTAGTTTGTATATTTATATCTGGATTATGGTTCTTACAGGCGAGTTGTGTTTTCGAATCCTTCAACACAACTTCCATGTCGGGAAGATTTTTTGGTTTAATTTGACTGTAAGGATTGTCCTTCAATTGTATAAGAAAATCTCTGCCATAAGTCTTTTTTCCTTCTTGATTAATAGGACTCGATCGATCCTCTTGGGTGACAATTAATTTACGATCAATTTCTGTTTCAATTGTCACCGTATGATCGACAACGTCATTTGGAATTGGCGATTGATTCTCATTTTCCTTAATATCTTCCGTGATCATAATGGAATTCATATCCTGAAAATTTTTCACAATCGTTAATATATTTTTCAAAACAATAATATTAAAAATAAAAATGAGATTATAATTTCTCCTCAATACCTAATTAATTAATATTAAAAGAATATTACTCATGAAGGATTCGCGGTACGCTAATCTTATCTCTGTTAAATTACGAACGAAAACTTATAAACAATAACATTAAAGTCACAAGCGTAACTCAAAATAATTTCTTCTGTATAAGTTCAGTAGTTATTTTTAGCGTATTTAATAATACGAAAAAAAATATTTTAAACTACCCGCACAAACAGTTTGAAACAATATAGCTATGGACTTTGATTTTTTTATAGCCACATAAAATTCTGATCGCTATGCTAACACAATGGGCATTAGAATTTTATGTGTTGTTTTACACTAAAAATTTCCCATGTTTTTAGAAAAGAAATTCTTTTCATTTTAATTATTTCACATGACTTATAATGCTATAAATACAAAAATTCGTATATTAATATTAAAATAACATTGAATGTATATATTGAAAAAGAGACGATTTTCTTGAGTCTAGAGTGGAAATATTTATTCTAATTGATAAATTAATTATTATTCCTTGTAAATAGAATGTAACAAACCTTAATTTTTATGTGTCTCGTTAAAAAATTTAGCAAACGAAGAAGAGTTGCATGTAATATCAACAAAACTGAAGAAGCGAACCAACGCTTCCCTTTTTTTGCCCTAAATCAAAATCTGATAAGCGTAAATTCAGAAAGGTATGTTTAATAAGGATGAATTCAAGTCTTATTCTTAAAAATCATTGAAATTTATGTTAAACACAACATTATCTGTGCAAAAATACACTTTAATAAAATGAACAGAATAACGTTTCTTCACAAAACCTTTAGCACACTGAGCAACACTGAGCCGGCTTGCTTTTGCGCTTCTTTCACTAACCACCAGAAGCGTCAGAGTCAAATGTCCGCGAAAAATTCTAAATTCATTTGTTTTTTTTTTATATTTATAATTAGATGTAGTTTTTTTTATATTATTTTAACTATTTAATATTCAATAGTTCCACAAGAAATTGCAGAATTTTCTAAAGAAGGACGACTCACGACTTCTGCACCCTTTAGAAGGTCTTCGGCCTTACAATAAAAATTAAAAATTTGTCTTCTAATAAAAAAGTGTTTTTTTAATATCAATTAATTGATAATTAAAATTATTTTTGCACAGTATACAAAATAAATAATGTCTATATTGAAAAAAGGCAATTAAAATACCTACAATATAATACAATAATTTTATTATGAAAATTACAAATTTGTTTTCAACAGTATTATAAAATATTTAAGTGAAAAATACTAAAAATAAAAATTTTTCTTTCACATTTATTAACGATTAGTTATTGTTTACTGTATTTAAACAATTTTCACTTTTTCTTTTTGGCTTTTGTTAACTCTAATACTTCGATTTGAGGCTGATCTTTAGTCTTAAAATCTTTTCTCGACTTACAATCTACTGAACGCCTTCAAACACTACTAATATAAATTTTTTAGTACAAAACGAATCCTGGAATTTATTTTTCTAGATATATATTTTCTGTAGGCATACTCTCGCTCTCTGACACAAGAGATTTTCAGTTTCTTTTTAATTAAAAAAGAAACGCATTAAGACCTTGCTTTTTTCATTTTTGTTTTGTTAAACCTTTCCTCTTTAGTTATATTTTTTCGTTTCGCATTATTTAGAAATTCACAAGACTTTTAGCACTTATAAATTGCGAAAAAACGCACTTTCCTGAAAATGTGTTTCACAATATATTCAGAAATAAAGAGTAAAACTCACGTCACATTGGCATTGGGTCAAAAATTCTCCATTTAAAACACTAACAATATTTAACGCACTTGAGCTGACGTTTCTTCTTCAGAAACTTCTTCGGCATCCTTCAATGATGTGAAAAAGCATGTGAGTGCTTTTAAAGCTACTGCCTTTCCTTCACGTTCAGCTGCATCGTCATTCGTTTCCCACGAGATGAAAGACTCAAAGGAAATTACATTGTCCTCACATAATTTATCAAAAATGTTTAAAAGCAGCCCTGTTTGAACAAAAAAACATTATTGGTTAAAATAGTAATAATAATTTACTACTGAGAGTAAATAGAAAAGAAATTCTTTTTTTTTACTTGAACTATATGAAACATATTTTTTAAATATAGAAAATCTAATAAAACTCACCAGGGGGGAATTCTAATTTATTTGCAAATGACTGAGCAGCGAACAGACATTGCAATTCTAATTTTTCATTCGCATCGACGAACCTATGTATCAGCGTTTGCAAACCTTGGAATATTTCAGGCTTGAAGTCGTGTCTTTGTTTATTACAAACTGAAACATGAAAAATTCTCCATTAAAAACTATTTTTACTAAAAATTTTTAATTATCAAAATGAAAATAAACTTTTTTTTCTTTCTTTAACAATCGAAATATAACTGAATAAAAAGAATAGAAAAATAATTGTAATAACAAATTAAAAATTTATTTTAATTATCAAAACGAAAATAAACTTTATTCCTTCCTTAATAATAAAAAAACTGAAAAAAAATAATTTTAATAACCAACAAATAGTAATAAGTGAAAATTATAAAAGTTAAAAATGAAAAATATAGGAACCTGAAGAGTTAAAATATAAAAAATTAAAAGAGTTGCATGGAAGTAAGGCATAAATTGCATAAATATTATTACTAACCAGTGGATACTTCCAAAATGGCAGTCATGAGAACTCGAATAAATTTTGGCTCAAGAACTTTGTCTGAAATATTATTCTGTAACAGAAAAATATTTTTTTATTAGCAAATCAATTCTCTATTATCAAAAAAAGTAAATTGTTATTAATTTCAAAGAACGCACCTTCGCCCAAGTAACAACATCATCAACTATATTATTGCTAGTTTTCATCAATTTTACAAGGTGATCATGAATTTGTTCAAAAGATGTAAACTTCTTTTCTGCTAGTGATTGTAATTTCTGCAAAAAAATAGAAAATATCATTAACAATTCTTACAAAAAAATGAAAAAAGTAATAAACTATTTTTCAATGTCAGTATCCTTTTGGCTAAAAAATGCATACAGGTTAAAACCTTACTTATTTACACAAAAAGTTTTCATCATCAAATAAAAAATAAAAGCAATTAACACCTAATATTAAAATTATTTTATTATTATTATATTTTTTTATATTATAATATATTTATATTATATTTATATTATATTATAAATTTAATAATTTAGAATTAAAATAATTAATTTAAAATGATAACGAAGTGTAAACTAATTAATTTACAGAACATTAAAAAACAAAAGCACTTACGTAATTCTTGATGATTTCATCAATATTTTCTCGTTCTCCATTAATAAGATAACTAATTTGGAGTTTACTTCGAAACCACTTTTCAACAAGGAATTCTGATGGTCCACAAATTGTAGCCATTTTGGAGAATAATTCACCTACTAATTTTCCACTTTGACCTGTACTTCTTAAACTAGCCAAGGTAATAGGCAATTCAGCCAGCGGATGAGTTTCGTCAATCACAAGATTAACTGAAAAATTGCACAAAAGAAAAGAAATTAATAATAAGATTCGTTTTCAAAAATTAGCAAAATATTTTTAATTTGCTTTAAAGCATCAGCCCTGTTGAGCATTGAAACCAGCATGGAATAATTTTTATGGTCAATATTTGTCATCATAATAATTTAGTTAGTTAATAATTAAATATATAATTAGAATTATATACGTAAATACATAATTTACAAAAAGAACTTATTTAGAGAATAAAGAATAAAACATACCCAAAATTTCGGCGAAGTAAGACAGGATTTTCGGAATATCAATTGAACGCCTTGATGCAAGAACCAGACATAGCTCCGAGAAAAGAGTGGGGGGTTGTCCCCTGGCAATAAAATATTTAACTTCAAAATTTTTGAATTTTTAAATTTTATTTTTATAAAGAATAAAAAACTGCATCTTTTTTTCCTTTGAGAAAAAGTTGTAGGATTAATATTTTTTTAATTAAAATTAAAAAACTTGTTTTTTCTCAAATGAATTTTTAATTAAAATTTCATCTTCAACTCGCTGCCAAATCTACAATTTTGCATATTTTTCAATCAAATTTGGAATGTACACACTTTATATTATCCTTTTTGAGCATATATGTTTCAAAAATTTATATGTTTGTTTATAAACAAACTAAAAAATATTTATTAGCCAATGGTAAAATTTCAACACCATAATCTTTGAACGCTTCGTTTATCGAGGAAATTTTGAGCAAATGAAAATTTCCAGTGAAGAAGTTGTTCAAAATAGTATAAAAAAGTTTTCTGGAAATTATTAAATTATCAAAATTGATAGAAAAAATTCTAACAACGTTTAACTTTTCTCGCGCGGCGTACTCTAACGTAACGAACTTCTATATCTGGCGGAGCCAGCCAGGACTGTCTGTTTTTTCATTTCACAGCTTAGAATAATGAAAAAAAACAGTAATATGCTTTTTTCGGAAAACAATATTTTTTCATATCACTCAATATAAGAATAAATAAATTATTATATTAGCGTCAAAAAATATTATTAAAATAATAAATATTAATTATTTTCATTATTCTAAGCTGTGAAATGAAAAAACAAACAGTCCTGGCTGGCTCCGCCAGATATAGAAATTCGTTTCGTTAGAGTCCGCCGCGCGAGAAAAGTTAAACGTTGTTAGAATTTTTTCTATCAATTTTGATAATTTAATAATTTCCAGAAAACTTTTTTATACTATTTTGAACAACTTCTTCACTGGAAGTTTTCATTTGCTCAAAATTTCCTCGATAAACGAAGCGTTCAAAGATTATGGTGTTGAAATTTTACCATTGGCTAATAAATATTTTTTAGTTTGTTTATAAACAAACATATAAATTTTTAAAACATATATGCTCAAAAAGGATAATATAAAGTGTGTCCATTCCAAATTTGATTGAAAAATATGCAAAATTGTAGATTTGACAGCGAGTTGAAGATGAAATTTTAATTAAAAATTCGTTTGAGAAAAAACAAGTTTTTTAATTTTATTTAAAAAAATATTAATTCTACAACTTTTTCTCAAAGGAAAAAAAGATGCAGTTTTTTATTCTTTATAAGAATAAAATTTAAAAATTCAAAAATTTTGAAGTTGAATATTTTATTGCCAGGGGACTACTCCCCACTCTTTTCTCGGAGCTATGTCTGGTTCTTGCATCAAGGCGTTCAATTATTAAATCATCGACTGATTCAAGAACTTCACCAAATCTGAAAAAATTTTACTCGTGAAATCTTTGTCAATTACTAAAAAAATTATAGTTAAGTATTAAAAAATACAATCAGTATCCTTTTGGCTAAAAATTCACAATGAGTATAATATACACATTTCTTATTTTAGAAAAATTTTCATCATACATTTTTCCAAAAAATAAACTAAATCAATGGTCTTCTATTTTCTTTTGCTATAAATAATGATTTTTTCCCTTATAAGTATATTGTTCCATTTTTAAAAAATTTCATAGTTTTTAAAAAAAGAGAGAGAATTGAATTTTAAAACAATTTTCTACCAGTTTTTTTGTACGTTTCTAAACATTTGAATAAAATTAAAAAAATTTTGGGATAAATTTACAATTAAGTGGGAGTTGGAGACTTATAATCGCTTACCCTTTTCGGAAGTCGTTCAAAGTGATTGATTTTTTGGTGATAAGGAAGGACAATAGTTTTGATACTGATTCACGTGCATTGACAGATTTGTCGAGAACTTCGTTAACTATTTCACGAACCACTGCTGGCAATTGTGAAGTTGAGAAATGTTGTTTAATTTCGAGTACAACATACTGTAAGAGAAAAAAATATTCTCAATTAGAAATCAAATACTAATTTAATAGAAAAATGAAAGAAGCAATAAAATGAAAGTAAAAAACTAAAGAAGAGCTTGAAAAATATTATTTTCGAAAATATTTATTTCCAAATATATATTTTTTTATTTTTACTGCGATTTTTCCGAGTTAAAAATGAATGAAATTAAAATTTATAAATTGAGTATTAATTTTCCTGTCTACTTTTTGGTTCACTTTGAACTTTTTAACCCAAAAAATGAGTTTTTTTTCGTGCAAAGTATTGAAAGCAAAAAGAAGGTATTGCATATTCTAGCACACCAATGACTCAAGCATCTCCTTGGAATATCAGAGATGGATCTAAGGAGCGTGCGGAAATAATGAAAAAAACATTTCCATTACTTACTTCACCATTGCCCTCGGTGATATATTCCTCGACGAACATATGAACAATTTTTTGGAGTTCATCAAATGATTTTTCTGGTTTATTACTAATAGAGGTAGGTTGTGGAGCTGGTTTGCTCTGAGGAGGCATTGTGACACTTTGACTTCTTCCACTGTCAAGTGGAGGAATTCCCTCTCTAGTCAAGGAACCACTACTACTTAATTGGTAGCTACTGCCATTTCGCGAACTTCTACCATCTGAAAAATGTCGATCAACAAATCACAAAGTATTCCAGATAGAAAATTAAATTCTATAAATTCATAAACTTTGTCAGTATCCTTTTGGCTATGTCCCATAAACTTCCCTTTGGGAGTTATCGAATAAATAATATATCATCACGAAAATATAAAAAATTGATAATTTTGACAAATTATTTTCCATTATTTATTAACTATTTATTATTATACTTTTTTTTATTTAAAAGAAAAAATATATTTAAGAATATTTCACGTTTCTTACCATAAGCGGATTTGTAGTCAGTTCTGCCACATTCTCGTGGTCCCATCGACTTTGATCCAGAAAGTTGGAGTGGATTACGTTTTTCTTGATCAAACGATGAAATATTTTCTAGGGCTGAAAATTTATTCTGCATCTTTGTGGATCCTACAGAAGGAATATTCTTATTCCACATAGTATAAGTATTCCTATTTCCTAATTGAAGATCGTCCATTAGAGGCTGTAATAAAAGAAGAAAACAAAGAATTGTTAAAAATTTGAAACAACTAATTCAAACAGAAATTTTTTCCAAGTAAAATAATTGCATCAGAATTTTTTAACAATCACGTTTTTATCAGAAACTCCAGTCTGGCATGACAATTAAGTATCATCACAATACAATTATTAAAATTTATTACCAACACTTTAACATTTGATTTATTTATCAACAATTCTAAATTGAAGCTAAAATTAATTTCTACACTCATTTATAAATTTAATTTTCATTACGACTATAAATATGAATTATCAATAAATTAAAAAAAATAATTGCTTTCTGATAGAAGTAGTTTACTTATTTATTAATAAAAGCAAAGGAATTTTTGCAAGACTATTCTTTTTTAAATATAAAATAAATTAAAATACTTACAGGTTTAGTTTTTAGTTTCGAAGTATCACAAGAGTATGAAGCTCTCGATCGAACTGGCTGACTCCAACCACCATCTTCGGAAGACCCTGCCATTCCACCTGAAAATATAAACATTCCATTAACCAAACTATAAAAACAAACTGCAAATTTATCCTTAATTTTTAATAATTCCATCAGAATTTTTTTAAACAATCACCTCTAGTCAGAAACTCCAGTCTGGCATGACATTAAGTATCATCACAACAATTTAGTTTGTATATTTAGAAATTAAACAAAAGTTTTCTTAAATTATTTAATTATAGTAGGAAAAAATTAAAGTAGAAAGAATCGAATTTTAATACCATTAGAATAATTCTATTTGATGATACTTACGATTTCTTCGTCGGTCAACGTTCCGATCATCTTTTCGTGGGGTATTAAGAGGAATATTGAGTTGGGCATCTAATCGTTCGGTTTCTGCCTCTTTTTGAATTTGGTCCATTGTCTTAGGATTACTGTCATCTCTCCTTGGCACCCATTTATTCGCCCTTAAGTCAATTACATCTTGGAGCATAAAACAAACTCTGAAATTAATTTTTCCAGGGCCTTTATCATTTGCGATGCCCTGTATTTGAATAAAATATTCATTCAATTCCTGAAAAAAAGAAAAAAAAACAATTAAAATCCAGAGAACAATGTAAACTGCTCAATTTTTTTAACGTAAACAATTAAAACAAACGGACAAAAAAATAAAAAATAAATGGACACATTTAGATGAAAAACAGAAGGAAATAGAGTGAAATTTTCTACTTACGTCTTTAGATTCCAATCTTTTTCCTACTGTCGTTAACAATATACACAAACATTCCAAATTATTTTCATCACGGAATTGTAATAAATGATTTATACAGAAAAGCATAATATTCTTTTTCAACATTCCTTGTTTAAAAAGTTCTCCAATGAACCTTATGTTACCAACAGACTTCATGCGTATCCTCCTCTCTTCCTCTTCACAGAATAATATTAATTCTTTCTTCTTTTCCTGTAATTTAATAAAAATAACAATATTAATAACAAATAAAATTTTTCTGATTCTATAATTATAAATTCTCTATATTTTCCATAATTAAGATTTCAAGAATTATGTATTCAAGAAACTACTAAATAATAAAGAAACAAGTATTCAAACTTACAGGATCTGTACATTCTTCAATTTCCTTAGCTTTCGTCTCTCTCATATCACCATTGTCGGATTCCTTTTGGAATTCATGTTGACAACGAGTGATAATTAATTTCCTAAAGTTCGCCGTTGTTGAATCAGATGGATCCGTACCGGAAACTTGCATCATGGCAAGTTCCTTACACATAAGTGCGTATTCCGCGGAAAAAATAGGTTCTTTAATTGCCTGCAAATAGAAAACAAAAAAATTAGTCAACAAAAAAAAACACGTAGAAAATTAAGAAAATAAAACAAAATTTAAAATATTCAGAATTTTTTTCAACAATCAGACCTGATCAGAAACTCCAGTCTGGCATGACATTAAAGTATCATCATTTATTTGTTAAATCATTCTTACAATTATAATTAGATTTTTTTCACAATTTTCAAAAAATTCTAGTTTTGTTTTTATTTTTCTTTTTCGAAATTTTTAATTTAATATAAAATATTATTTATATATTTTCAATTTAATTTATATACATAATATTATTGATAATATTACCTTTTCGAAGACAAGATTAATCACACGCTCCATTCTTTCCTTGGTATCAATGTTCAACGCTCTCACTTGACTAACCAATGTGTCGAATTTTTGAAGCGTTAATTTATTGAGCACACTACGAACTTTTTTAGCGAGAGATTCGGTTTTAGCTTCCTCAACATCAATGTCGCTACCCTTTAGTCTTGTCGGTTTCCACGCATTCTCCGCTTCTCGAAGTTTAACTTCTTCTCGTAACGAGGGGGAAATAGGCATCGCCATATTTGGTTTATTTGATGGACTTGGTTTTTCAGAATTGTTTTTCCTATTCAGTCCATCCCTTTTACCTGTAAATAAATCATGATTTGAAATATTACGGAGTGAATATAAATATAATTAAATGTATATGGGGCATTCCACTCCAAGTTGGAAATCATTTTGTTTTTGCATCTTTTGTTAATGAAAATTTTTGTTTTCACACGTAGTTTTTTAATAAAAATATGAAAAAAAATGTTTGTTAAAAATTTACGATAAGATTTAAAAACAACAATTAGACAAGGGTTAAAAATTGTTAATTCAGTACTAGTTTCTTGCAAAAAATTTTGAAGAAAATTGATCAATTCATACCTTGTTAAAAATAAAATTTAAAAAAAAAAAATTTTAAATCTTATCTTATCTTATCGTAATTTTTTAACAAAAATTTTTTTCTTATTTTTATTAAAAACGTCCAATTTGATCAATTTTTGGCATTTCAAAAAAAAAATTTACGTAAAAAACGTAATTTTTCAAAAATCTGTATCTCTTAAATCGTTTTATGAAAAAAATCATGGTAACTCGCATTTCAACAAGCACAGAAAGAAAAGAAAATTTGAAAAAAATTTGAGTTGCAAAACCAAATTGATTTACGATTTGGCGTGGAATGTCCCATATAAATGTAAATAAATATAAATTCGATTGAGTATTGTCGTTAAAGATAAACCGATATATTGTCTGGTTCCAAAATTAATTAAGTAATTAAGTTTCGTTTAGAAAAAACTATATACGTGAGAATATTATTCATGAAGGCTGCATGATACGCTAATCTTATCTCTTTTAGATTACGAGCCAAAAATTATATATAATAACATTTTTAAATTCGCAACCATGACTCAAAATAAGCTTGGATTTTTTTTCTGCAAGAATTCTAAAGTTATTTTTCCATCGCATATTTATTTACAAAAACAAATATTTTGATCTACCCACAGACAGTTGGAAACAATGAATTCATGTATGGAAAAAGGGTAAAAAGACAAATTTCTTGAGTCTAGAGTGAAAATTTATATTATAATAAATTAATTATTGTTCCTTGTAAATAAAATGTAACAAACCTTAATTCTTAGGTGTCTGATGGTTAAAAAAATTGGCAAACGAAGAAGAATTGTAATGTGTTGCCCAAAACAAAATCTGATGAGCAAAAATTCAGAAAGGCATGTTTAATAAAGATGAATTCAAGTTTTATTCTTAAAAATCATTGAAATTTATGTTAAACACAACATTATCTGTGCAAAAATACACTTTAATAAAATTAACAGAATAACTTTTCTTCACAAAACCTTAAGGCGGTGTCAAAGTCGATTGGATTTTTGCATTGAGCTTTAATGGAAAAATCGCATCGACTTTGACACCGCCTTAAGCTAGTGATGGGATATCGATATTAAATATCGGAACATATCGATATCTATGTCACGATAATCGATATTTTAATATCGATATTAACGTTTTGATATATCGTTACCGTTATCGATAAAATTTTTAATATCGATAATTCTAGCGCGCAACCGCGTAACGACCACACGATGTGTCACACGTTTTGAGTTTTTTTTTAATTAAGAAATTAAGTAACTATTAAGAAGTACTAAATATAAGTACCTAATTATAAAACTCTTATATTATAAAATATTTATAACGTAAACAAAACTTTTAAACCATTTTTTACATTGATTTTTAGGCCAACGCAGAATAAAATCTTTAATAATCGTAAGCGTAACGGTTAGAATAAGTTAAAGAAGGAAAGGTATATTGTTTATCCTTCTCTAACCCATTCTATGCTTTCGGTTACGATTACGGTTCCGGTTAAAGATCTATTCTGCGTTGGCCTTTATGTGGTAAAAATAATGTAAATTTTGAGGTTATGATTGTTATCCCTGTTCTTTGAATATATGCAAGTTCGAAAGTTTTATTGAAAGCTGTCATTTTTAAAGCATTAAAGGTCATCATTTTGTTTACATAAAAATATAAAGTTTGTTTTTATTTATTTCGGTTATTACAAATAAACAGTCTTTATATACTTAAATTAAATTTTCTATGTTCATTAATTAATAATTAAACGTTTTCTTTATATATTATATCTATAAAATATACATTAATATAAAAACCTTATTTTCCTATTCTAAAATTTTTTTATTTTTTTCTTTAAAAAGAAAGTGACTTAATTTATTTACGTTCTTTATATTTATTGAAAAATAATATTAAATAAATAATTATTAATAATATCAAATACACATTCAAAAATTTCTTAGAGTTCTGCGCATGCGCGATATCGTTTTTACGATATATCGATATTTATTTTCGATAACGATATATTTTTAAATATCGATATTACAGATGCAATATCGATAAGCGTAATATCGATATCAAATTTTTTCGATATCCCATCACTACCTTAAGCACACTGAGCCGGCTTGGCGGCTTGCTTTTGTGCTTCTTTCACTCACCACCAGAAGCGTTAGAGTCAAATGCCCGCGAAAAATAAAAAATTTGCCACGTGATCCTTCTTTCTCACCAATTATATTTAAATTAATTAAAATAATTAATGAAGCATGATTTCAATATAATTTAAAAATCTAAATAAAATAGTGTTTTTTAATATTAATTAACAATTTAAATTATTTTTCAGCCAAAGAATTGATACACGCACATTATAATAAATAATTTTTATAGTGAAAAAAGGGCAATTAAAATACCTACAATAATTTAAATATTACAAAGAACTGTTCATTATTTCTTAAAAATTAACTTAAAAATTAACTTTTTGATGTTAATTAAAAAAGAACAACAATTTTAGTATTTCAAGAGTAAGAAAGATTTTATTGTATTTTTTTTTTGTTTTATTACAAAAATTATAAAGTTTCAAACAGTATTGAAAACTAAATGTTTATAAAATAAATAATACTAAATAATAATATGAATAAAAGTAAATTAAAAAAATTAATTATCGTTTACCTTACTTAACTAATTATTACTTTTCTATTCGGTTTTTCTTCTTTCTCAATGCTTTCTTTTGATGTTGATCTTCAGTCTTAAGATTTCTTCTCGGCATTTCTTCATTTTCCCTCAAGTAAATTAAATCCTTGAGTACAAAACGAATTCCAGAATTTGATTTTCCAGAGCCATTATCATTTGCGTTGCTTTGAGACTGCCTTCTTGAAACACTGTAATAAAAAGAAGGAATTATAAATAAAACAATTTGAGATTTTGCGAAATAATATTTAATGTCTTTAAAGCCTCAGCCCTGTTGAGCATTGAAACCAGCATGGAGTAATTTTTATGGTCAATGTTTGTCATCATAATAATCAAATTACTAAATTAATTAACTGAATCTCTCAAACCTCAGTTGATAACAACAATTTTAAATTTTAAGTAATTAAAATAAATTTTATTTTTAATTCATTTTATTTTTGATTCATTTTATTTCTGATTTATTAATTAGAAAGCTTACCTAAAAAAACGTCGATGTAAAATTAACTTTTCTTCCTCAATCCATTTTTTCAATCTGCAAGAAAAAAAAGGAAAATACATTAAACAACCGTGTCACGTAAATCAATGAATATTTTAAACAAAAGTATATCATAATAAAATCAGTATCCTTTTGGCTAAAAATTCACAATGAGTATATAAAATACCCATTTCTTATTTCTTTAAATTTATCATCACACATTTTTCAAAGGGAAATGAAAACATTTAATATAAATGTTAATAATCGGATTATTTACCTTTTTCATTTTTAGAGTTGTTGGTTTAAAAAATATGTTCAGATCAGAAGAAACTTCATTTCTTATGAGTGTCAACAAATTTCTTTTTATATCCCCCTGAAAAATAAATTAAAATCTTCTGTTAATAAATTGAACAACTTTTTGAAATAAATGAAAAATTATAATTAAAAAATATATCAGTATCCTTTTGGCTATGATCCACAAACTTCCATTATTTTTGGAGTTTTCTAATTAAAATTTATCATCATTCGAAAATTATGTATATATTATTATGTAATGCTTCCTCATGGAGGAACGTATAATAATTATGTTTTAATTTATTAATTTAAACGTTTAATTAACGAAGAAATTTGATGAATTTAAAAAGCTAATAACTCTTTGGAAAGAACAACAAAAAATTATATTTAAATGTTGAATACAAAATTTAAAAAAAAGCAAAATAGATTATAGGAAAATAAAACAAAATAAAAACAAAGAAATGGTAAAAATAATTACATAATTAGAAAAATTTTACCTTTAGGAAGATAAGATGATGTTTGCAGTAAACTTCCAGAGATTAATTTCTCCTCTTAACGAAAAAGGATTTGTCATCATAATAAATTTTTCCTTGATTTTTAAACATTTTTCTCCTTATTGTTCTTCTTCTTTTTCTCTATTAATAGCTGAAAACATTTGCAATCGTTACTATTTTTTCAATGAAAGGAAAAAATTAATTAAATATTGACTATCAAAAAATTTCAGATTACAAATTCTCCTCAAAACTTTTCAGTCCACTACTTTCATTTTTAAATAAATCATCACTTGAACAATTAAAAATATTATCGAATTTAAACATTAGATTCTAATTTAAATAAAAAAATTTAATTTCTCGATTTACAGATTTCTAAATAAATTTTAATCGACAATCGAGTAATTTACCTTTTTAACTTTTAGAGTCATCTCTGTAAAAAATTGACCATCTCAGAAAGGGAACAAAATTACTTCGTCTTCTTCCAATCAATTTTTTTATCCTCTGAAAAAGAAATTAATAACTCATTAATTTCACAATTTTCTAAATAAGAATTCACTTAATGTTACAAAAAAATAAAATCAGTATCCTTTTGGCTATGTCCCACAAACTTCCCATTTTTTTAGGAGTTTTCGAAAAAATGTCTAATCATCATTTGAAGATTATTTATAAGTTGTAATTATTAATTTAAATATTAAGAAAATAAAAATAGACAAAATGTAAAATAGTAAAAATAAATAATTAGGAAAATTATACCTTTAAGAAGATAAGATTGTGATGCTTTCAAGTTATTTCCCGACTGTCAGAGTTCTATTTCTTCTCGTAACTAAAGAGAAATGGACATCACAATAAATTTTGTTTTGATTTTTTGTGCTTCTATTCTTTTTTTTCTTTTTTTCCTTTGTTTCTTCTCCGCTTCATCATTGGCTGAAAATATTTTCAATTGTTACTATTTTTTCAAAGAAAGGAAAAAATTCATTGAATCTAAACTATCAAAAAATTTCAGATTACAAAATCTCTTCAAAACTTTTCAGTCCACTACTTTCATTTTTAAATAAATCATCACTTGAACAACTACTTAATACTGTCGAATTTCAAAACAAAAAAAAAAAAATTAAAAGGAAAAATTTCTTGATTTACAAATTTTTAAATAAATTATAATTGTATAACACACCTTTTTAATTTTTAGTCATCGCTGTAAAAAAAGTGACCATCCCAGAAAAGAAATAAAATTACTTCGTCTCCTTCCAGCGAATTTTCTATCATCTGAAAAAGAAATTAATAACTTATCAATCTCACAATTTTCCAAATAAATATTAATTTAAAGATACAAGAAAATAAAATCAGTATCCTTTTGGCTATGTCCCATAAACTTCCCATTCTTTTAGGAGTTATCGAATAAATGAAGAATCATCATTAAAAAATTACGTTAAATAATTTATATTCCACTGTTTATAATCTTCAAAATAATTTACAACTTTTTTAAAAAATTAAATTACAGTGAATAACACTTACGGAAAATAATTCTTTTCCACTCCTGTGGTTTCTTCGTATTTCATCCACAAAAGATGGAAATTAATTTCTGCATCACGAAGAATAAATCTCATAGAATTGTTTTCATATAGCACGATCCATTGAAAACTACTGAAACAAAAATATTTATAATTAATAAAAGAAAATTGGAGATTAGAAATTAATTTCTATTTGAAATAAAATAGCTTCAGAATTTTTTTTAACAATCACGTCTAATCAGAAACTCCAGTCTGGCATGACAATTAAGTGTCATCATAACAATTATTTTTAAAATAATTTAGAATTTAATTTATAATTTAAAATTATCAAAAATAAAAAACGAGTCTACAAAATTCGTTCACTTACATTTTTTCCACTGATAAAAATTCATCTGATTTGTTGCTTCTTCTTCTTGTTGTCTCCCTTCCTTGAACAATTAAGTAAAATAGTCTTCAATCAATTGTTTCTTCATTAATAAAATTATTTCCATGTTTCACGTTCCATTGAAAACTGAAACAAAAATGTTTATAATTAATAAAAGAAAATTGGGGATTAAAAATTAATTTCTTTTTAATAAAATAGCTTCAGAATTTTTTTCAACAATCACGACTAATCAGAAACTCCAGTCTGGCATGACAATTAAGTATCATCAGAACAATTTTTTTAAAATAATTTAGAATTCAGAATTTACAATTTACAATTTTCAATTAACAATATTTATAATTTAAAATAATCAAAAATAAAAAAAAAATCTGTTAAATTCGTTCACTTACATTTTCGCCAGTGATTTGTCGCGTTTGCTTCTTGTTTCCCTTTCGCAAACAATAAGTAAAATAGTCCTGAATCAATTTTCTCTTCATGTAAATAAAACTTATTTCCTATTTGTATGGCAAATTTCTTCTCCTTTCTATAAATCTGTAATTTTTCTTATCGTACATAATAAAAAAAAAATCCTGAAAAAAATAATATTAGAAATACTTCTTTACAAAAGAATGTAAAATACAAAGGAAAGGTTTCTTTTGAAGCAACAAACACTTGCTTTCGTTGGAGGAAAACTTGGAAATTACGGAAATCATTTTTCAAAAAAAAAGACTACAAATGGAGTTCGTTTTTTTTTATTTTTTTATATAGATATGATTTTTATATAATGTTTACGCGTGTGTATGTGTTTATTTTTTTTTCTCTGAATTCTTAGCATTATTTTTTGTTTATTTATACATGTATATATTTATACATACATATATATATAAATATATAATATCTACATATTTATATATTTATATACACATATATTCAGCGATTCGCAGCGACGAGATAAACAGTATCGCAAAAAAATTGTGTTTTCTTTTTATTCATTTTTTTTCTTTTATATCCTCCCTCTTCTTTTGTGAATTATTTTCTCACAAAAAAAGATTCTCTCAACAGGTCCTCTTTCATTTATTTCTTTTTTTTTCTTTTATCCATCACTTCACTTACAATTGTCCATTTATTATTTACAACAACAACCTTTCAAAATTTTTTTTTTTCCTTTTTTATTTTATTCACTATTTACTTCACCTATCCACAAAAATTATCAACAAACTGTTCCTCCCCACATATATAAATTATTATAATTTTCAATTGCCTACCATTCTTCGATAAGAGATTTATTCCCTCGAAATATTTTTTGTAACATTCTATAGAATGTGCACAAATTCACAAGGAATAAATCATTTTAAGATAATTTTTTCCTAGATTCGCTCTCTCTTTTTAAGATACACATTTATTCCTCAGCATAAATTCAGCATCAGCAATAATATTATTAATTAATAATAATATTAATAATATTTATTAATAATAATAATTAATAATTAATAATAATTAATAATAATATAATAAGAATAATAATAATTAATCATAATATAATATTTCAATAATAATTAATAATTTCTAAAAAAAAAAAAAAAATTAAAATATCGGAGATATATTTTTACTAATAGCAAAAATTTAACGATTCTTTTTTTTAAAAACAAACTAAAAACTTGACGAAGGAAAATTCTTTTAAAAATACTCTGTTTCTCTCTGTAAATACGCTCGGGGGAAAAAAATCATTCTTTACATCTACACGCAACTTGTACATATTCGGTTCCAAGTTTACACGGAAATAAGCTGCCGATTTTTTTATTTTTACTTTTCTTTCTTTTAAAGGGAATTATATTGTGGATATATATTCATTTTTCATTTAAATATCTGCACGCATACCCCCGCCCCCTGACACAAGAGATTTACGGTACTGTGAAGAATAGAAATAATTTATTTTAACAATCTCTACAGAATACGGCACTGCAGTGATGAGCACTTATTATTATAGTTTGAAAAGTTTTTTGCTGCGACGCAGCTTATTTACATGTGAACACGGTTTTTATATCTTCATCATTATCATCATCATCATCATCGTCAAGACTATTATAATCCAAGTTAAAAAGTAAAACCACCATTTTTCACGAAGGCTTTACTCTTCGAGGAAAAAATATCTTCTTTCTTTTTAATTAAAAAAAAAAAGCTCACGATTATTTTTTTTATTAACGCAGACATTCAATATCCACGCTTTTGCAACTCTATTTGCTTTTTCTTTAATTATAAATAACTCGTTTTTTGTTTTATTTTATTCTTTTTTTTCATTTAAAAAATAGTAGAGCCTTTGACGCGACTGCGAATTGAGGAAATAAAAATTTACGCGGTCGATAAATTGGTTTTTGTTTTGTGTGTCGTTCTCACCCATTTTTTAAATCTTTCTATTCGCAAAAAATCACGATCGCTCCTCTTAAAAGTTACAATATAATATATATATTTATATATAAGATCATATTCGCAATATTTATAAATAATTAATTCTGTTATGTTCGTTTACAGTAATAGGAAGAATCATCTTTCTCAGACTTGGTTATCAATAGCTTCGTGTACGCGCATGTAAAGACCGTGCTTTTTTTCATTTTTTTGTTTGTTTTCGTCTTACCTACAAATATAAGGATTTTACACGATTTTAATATCCCGATTATCTAAAAGTTTATGTAGCAAGTACTTCTGTCGATGTGCGATATCGTTTTTGAAAAAAAATTTTGAAATGTTACCGCGGCTTTAATTGAATTTGACGATTGTAAATAAACGCGAGTCCTATAGAAACGAAAAAAAGCCACGAAAACATTTCAGAAAAAAACTTCACTTTTAAAAACACGATATCATTTTCAGTTTTTGTTTGTTTTTTTTCTCATTTCTTTATTTAAACTTTAAACCTTTGTTTTTTTAAATCAATTATATATAATAATTATCTTGCAGTTATTTCTGTATTAATAGTTAATATTTTTTTTTTATCTTCATTTATGTATAGCGTATCGCAAATACGGAAATTCAGTGTAACCGTTGATTTGCCTCGACTTTGTCTTCGGCTTTTTTTTATGTCCTAGGCTATAATACACATCTCGGCACAATCACTTATTCCATTGTCTTTTTAAGATAAATGTGTCCATTTTAAAAAATAAAAAAAAAACAACTGCAATTTTGGCCACTTCTAAGAAATTGAGTTAAAGTTAAATTTTTATCGAGTCTTGGTAAAAATTCTCATAAGTCTTTTAGCACTTATAAATTGCGAAAAAACGCACTTTCCTGAAAATGTGTTTCACAATTATATTCAGGAATAAAGAGTAAAACTCACGTCACGTTGGCATTGGGTCAAAAACTCTCCATTTAAAACACTGACAATATTTAACGCACTTGAGTTGACGTTTCTTCTTCAGAAACTTCTTCGGCTTCCTTCAATGATGTGAAAAAGCATGTGAGTGCTTTTAAAGCTACTGCCTTTCCTTCACGTTCAGCTGCATCGTCATTCGTTTCCCACGAGATGAAAGACTCAAAGGAAATTACATTGTCCTCACATAATTTATCAAAAATGTTTAAAAGCAGCCCTGTTTGAACAAAAAAACATTATTGGTTAAAATAGTAATAATAATTTACTACTGAGAGTAAATAGAAAAGAAATTCTTTTTTTTTACTTGAACTATATGAAACATATTTTTTAAATATAGAAAATCTAATAAAACTCACCAGGGGGGAATTCTAATTTATTTGCAAATGACTGAGCAGCGAACAGACATTGCAATTCTAATTTTTCATTCGCATCGACGAACCTATGTATCAGCGTTTGCAAACCTTGGAATATTTCAGGCTTGAAGTCGTGTCTTTGTTTATTACAAACTGAAACATGAAAAATTTTCCTTTAAAAAATATTTTTACTAAAAATTTATAATTAACAAAACGAAAATAAACTTTTTTTTCTTTCTTTGATAATCGAAACATATAACTGAATAAAAAGAGTAAAAAAATAATTTTAATAACAAATTAAAAATTTATTTTAATTATCAAAACGAAAATAAACTTTATTCCTTCCTTAATAATAAAAAAACTGAATAAAAAAAATAATTTTAATAACCAACAAATAGTAATAAGTGAAAATTATAAAAATTACAAATTAAAAATATAGGAATCTGAAGAGTTAAAATATAAAAAATTAAAAGAGTTGCATGAAAGTAAGGCATAAATTGCATAAATATTATTACTAACCAGTGGATACTTCCAAAATGGCAGTCATGAGAACTCGAATAAATTGTGGCTCAAGAACTTTGTCTGAAATATTATTCTGTAACAGAAAAATATTTTTTTATTAGCAAATCAATTCTCTATTATCAAAAAAAGTAAATTGTTATTAATTTTAAAGAACGCACCTTCGCCCAATTAACAACATCATCAACTATGTTATTGCTAGTCTTCATCAATTTTACAAGGTGATCATGAATTTGTTCAAAACATGAAAACTTCTCTTCTGCGAGTGCTTGTAATTTCTGCAAAAAAATTAGAAAATATCATTCAAAATTCGTCTAAAAAAAATGAAAAAAGTATTAAACTATTTACAAATGTCAGTATCCTTTTGGCTAAAAAATGCATATAGGTTAAAACCTCACTTATTTACACAAAAAGTTTTCATCATCAAATATAAAATAAAAGCAATTAATTTAATAAATAATATTAAAATATTAATATTATTATATTTTTTAAATTATATTATAATTATATTATTAATTTAATAATTTAGAACTAATTTAATTAATTTAAAATGATAACGAAGTGTGAATTAATTATTTACCAGAAACTTTAAATAGAAAAACACTTACATAATTCTTGATGATTTCATCAATATTTTCTCGTTCTCCATTAATAAGATCACTTATTTGGAGTTTACTACGAAGCCACTTTTCAACAAGGAATTCTGGTTCACAAATTGTAGAAATTTTTGAGAATAATTCACCTACTAATTTCCCACTTTGACCTGTACTTCTCAAATTAGCCAAGGTAATGGGCAATTCCGCAAGCGGATGAGTTTCGTCAATTACAAGGTGAACTGAAAAAATGCGCAAAATAAAAGAAATTATAAATAAGATTCGATTTTAAAAATTATTAAAATACGTTAATAATTTGCTTTGAAAAGCATCAGCCCTGTTGAGCATTGAAACCAGCATGGAATAATTTTTATGGTCAATATTTGTCATCATAATAATTATGTTACTTAATAATTAAATACATAATTAGAATTATATACATAAATACATAATTTACAAAAAGATCTTATTAAGAGAATAAAGAATACAACTTACCCAAAATGTCGGCGAAGTAAGACAGGATTTTCGGAATATCAATTATTAAATCATCGACTGATTCAAGAATTTCACCAAATCTGAAAAAAATTTTACTCGTGAAATCTTTGTCAATTACTAAAAAAAATTATAGTTAAGTATTAAAAAATACAATCAGTATCCTTTTGGCTAAAAATTCACAATGAGTATAATATACACATTTCTTATTTTAGAAAAAATTTTCATCATACATTTTTCCAAAAAATAAACTAAATCAATGGTCTTTTATTTTCTATTGCTAACAATAATGATTTTTTCCCTTATAAATATAAATATTGTTCCATTTTTAAAAAATTTCTTAGTTTTTAAAAGAACCCACCAAAAATTGAATTTTACAACAATTTTCTACCAGTAGAATTATAGTTTTTTTTTTAAATTTTCTAAAAATTTGAATAAAATTTCTAAAATTTTAAGCTTTATCAAATAAGAGTTGGAGATTTAAAATCACTTACCCTTTTCGGAAGTCGTTCAAAGTAATTGATTTCTTGGTGATAAGGAAGGACAATAGTTTCGATACTGATTCACGTGCATTGACAGATTTCTCGAGAACTTCGTTAACTATTTCGCGAACCACTGCTGGCAATTGTGAAGTTGGGAAATGTTGTTTAACTTCGAGTACAACATCCTGTAGAAAAAAAGATTCTCTATTAGAAATCAACTACTAATTTAATAGAAAAATGAATAAATATTTACAATAGAAGCAAAATAAAGTAAACATAAAAAAAATGAAATAAAAACTTGAAAATATTGTTTTAAAAATATTTATTTCCAAATAATTACTTTTTTTATTTTGAATGCGATTTTTCCGAGTTAAAAATGAATGAAATTAAAATTCATAAATTGAGTATTAATTTTCCTGTCCACTTTTTGGTTCACTTTGAACTTTTTAACCCAAAAAATGAGTTTTTTTGTCGTGCAAAGTATTGAAAGCAAAAAGAAGGTATTGCATATTCTAGCACACCAATGACTCAAGCATCTCCTTGGAATATCAGAGATGGATCTAAGGAGCGTGCGGAAATAATGAAAAAAACATTTCCATTACTTACTTCACCATTGCCCTCGGTGATATATTCCTCGACGAACATATGAACAATTTTTTGGAGTTCATCAAATGATTTTTCTGGTTTATTACTAATAGAGGTAGGTTGTGGAGCTGGTTTGCTCTGAGGAGGCATTGTGACACTTTGACTTCTTCCACTGTCAAGTGGAGGAATTCCCTCTCTAGTCAAGGAACCACTACTACTTAATTGGTAGCTACTGCCATTTCGCGAACTTCTACCATCTGAAAAATGTCGATCAACAAATCACAAAGTATTCCAGATAGAAAATTAAATTCTATAAATTCATAAACTTTGTCAGTATCCTTTTGGCTATGTCCCATAAACTTCCCTTTGGGAGTTATCGAATAAATAATATATCATCACGAAAATATAAAAAATTGATAATTTTGACAAATTATTTTCCATTATTTATTAACTATTTATTATTATACTTTTTTTATTTAAAAGAAAAAATATATTTAAGAATATTTCACGTTTCTTACCATAAGCGGATTTGTAGTCAGTTCTGCCACATTCTCGTGGTCCCATCGACTTTGATCCAGAAAGTTGGAGTGGATTACGTTTTTCTTGATCAAACGATGAAATATTTTCTAGGGCTGAAAATTTATTCTGCATCTTTGTGGATCCTACAGAAGGAATATTCTTATTCCACATAGTATAAGTATTCCTATTTCCTAATTGAAGATCGTCCATTAGAGGCTGTAATAAAAGAAGAAAACAAAGAATTGTTAAAAATTTGAAACAACTAATTCAAACAGAAATTTTTTCCAAGTAAAATAATTGCATCAGAATTTTTTAACAATCACGTTTTTATCAGAAACTCCAGTCTGGCATGACAATTAAGTATCATCACAATACAATTATTAAAATTTATTACCAACACTTTAACATTTGATTTATTTATCAACAATTCTAAATTGAAGCTAAAATTAATTTCTACACTCATTTATAAATTTAATTTTCATTACGACTATAAATATGAATTATCAATAAATTAAAAAAAATAATTGCTTTCTGATAGAAGTAGTTTACTTATTTATTAATAAAAGCAAAGGAATTTTTGCAAGACTATTCTTTTTTAAATATAAAATAAATTAAAATACTTACAGGTTTAGTTTTTAGTTTCGAAGTATCACAAGAGTATGAAGCTCTCGATCGAACTGGCTGACTCCAACCACCATCTTCGGAAGACCCTGCCATTCCACCTGAAAATATAAACATTCCATTAACCAAACTATAAAAACAAACTGCAAATTTATCCTTAATTTTTAATAATTCCATCAGAATTTTTTTAAACAATCACCTCTAGTCAGAAACTCCAGTCTGGCATGACATTAAGTATCATCACAACAATTTAGTTTGTATATTTAGAAATTAAACAAAAGTTTTCTTAAATTATTTAATTATAGTAGGAAAAAATTAAAGTAGAAAGAATCGAATTTTAATACCATTAGAATAATTCTATTTGATGATACTTACGATTTCTTCGTCGGTCAACGTTCCGATCATCTTTTCGTGGGGTATTAAGAGGAATATTGAGTTGGGCATCTAATCGTTCGGTTTCTGCCTCTTTTTGAATTTGGTCCATTGTCTTAGGATTACTGTCATCTCTCCTTGGCACCCATTTATTCGCCCTTAAGTCAATTACATCTTGGAGCATAAAACAAACTCTGAAATTAATTTTTCCAGGGCCTTTATCATTTGCGATGCCCTGTATTTGAATAAAATATTCATTCAATTCCTGAAAAAAAGAAAAAAAAACAATTAAAATCCAGAGAACAATGTAAACTGCTCAATTTTTTTAACGTAAACAATTAAAACAAACGGACAAAAAAATAAAAAATAAATGGACACATTTAGATGAAAAACAGAAGGAAATAGAGTGAAATTTTCTACTTACGTCTTTAGATTCCAATCTTTTTCCTACTGTCGTTAACAATATACACAAACATTCCAAATTATTTTCATCACGGAATTGTAATAAATGATTTATACAGAAAAGCATAATATTCTTTTTCAACATTCCTTGTTTAAAAAGTTCTCCAATGAACCTTATGTTACCAACAGACTTCATGCGTATCCTCCTCTCTTCCTCTTCACAGAATAATATTAATTCTTTCTTCTTTTCCTGTAATTTAATAAAAATAACAATATTAATAACAAATAAAATTTTTCTGATTCTATAATTATAAATTCTCTATATTTTCCATAATTAAGATTTCAAGAATTATGTATTCAAGAAACTACTAAATAATAAAGAAACAAGTATTCAAACTTACAGGATCTGTACATTCTTCAATTTCCTTAGCTTTCGTCTCTCTCATATCACCATTGTCGGATTCCTTTTGGAATTCATGTTGACAACGAGTGATAATTAATTTCCTAAAGTTCGCCGTTGTTGAATCAGATGGATCCGTACCGGAAACTTGCATCATGGCAAGTTCCTTACACATAAGTGCGTATTCCGCGGAAAAAATAGGTTCTTTAATTGCCTGCAAATAGAAAACAAAAAAATTAGTCAACAAAAAAAAACACGTAGAAAATTAAGAAAATAAAACAAAATTTAAAATATTCAGAATTTTTTTCAACAATCAGACCTGATCAGAAACTCCAGTCTGGCATGACATTAAAGTATCATCATTTATTTGTTAAATCATTCTTACAATTATAATTAGATTTTTTTCACAATTTTCAAAAAATTCTAGTTTTGTTTTTATTTTTCTTTTTCGAAATTTTTAATTTAATATAAAATATTATTTATATATTTTCAATTTAATTTATATACATAATATTATTGATAATATTACCTTTTCGAAGACAAGATTAATCACACGCTCCATTCTTTCCTTGGTATCAATGTTCAACGCTCTCACTTGACTAACCAATGTGTCGAATTTTTGAAGCGTTAATTTATTGAGCACACTACGAACTTTTTTAGCGAGAGATTCGGTTTTAGCTTCCTCAACATCAATGTCGCTACCCTTTAGTCTTGTCGGTTTCCACGCATTCTCCGCTTCTCGAAGTTTAACTTCTTCTCGTAACGAGGGGGAAATAGGCATCGCCATATTTGGTTTATTTGATGGACTTGGTTTTTCAGAATTGTTTTTCCTATTCAGTCCATCCCTTTTACCTGTAAATAAATCATGATTTGAAATATTACGGAGTGAATATAAATATAATTAAATGTATATGGGGCATTCCACTCCAAGTTGGAAATCATTTTGTTTTTGCATCTTTTGTTAATGAAAATTTTTGTTTTCACACGTAGTTTTTTAATAAAAATATGAAAAAAAATGTTTGTTAAAAATTTACGATAAGATTTAAAAACAACAATTAGACAAGGGTTAAAAATTGTTAATTCAGTACTAGTTTCTTGCAAAAAATTTTGAAGAAAATTGATCAATTCATACCTTGTTAAAAATAAAATTTAAAAAAAAAAAATTTTAAATCTTATCTTATCTTATCGTAATTTTTTAACAAAAATTTTTTTCTTATTTTTATTAAAAACGTCCAATTTGATCAATTTTTGGCATTTCAAAAAAAAAATTTACGTAAAAAACGTAATTTTTCAAAAATCTGTATCTCTTAAATCGTTTTATGAAAAAAATCATGGTAACTCGCATTTCAACAAGCACAGAAAGAAAAGAAAATTTGAAAAAAATTTGAGTTGCAAAACCAAATTGATTTACGATTTGGCGTGGAATGTCCCATATAAATGTAAATAAATATAAATTCGATTGAGTATTGTCGTTAAAGATAAACCGATATATTGTCTGGTTCCAAAATTAATTAAGTAATTAAGTTTCGTTTAGAAAAAACTATATACGTGAGAATATTATTCATGAAGGCTGCATGATACGCTAATCTTATCTCTTTTAGATTACGAGCCAAAAATTATATATAATAACATTTTTAAATTCGCAACCATGACTCAAAATAAGCTTGGATTTTTTTTCTGCAAGAATTCTAAAGTTATTTTTCCATCGCATATTTATTTACAAAAACAAATATTTTGATCTACCCACAGACAGTTGGAAACAATGAATTCATGTATGGAAAAAGGGTAAAAAGACAAATTTCTTGAGTCTAGAGTGAAAATTTATATTATAATAAATTAATTATTGTTCCTTGTAAATAAAATGTAACAAACCTTAATTCTTAGGTGTCTGATGGTTAAAAAATTGGCAAACGAAGAAGAATTGTAATGTGTTGCCCAAAACAAAATCTGATGAGCAAAAATTCAGAAAGGCATGTTTAATAAAGATGAATTCAAGTTTTATTCTTAAAAATCATTGAAATTTATGTTAAACACAACATTATCTGTGCAAAAATACACTTTAATAAAATTAACAGAATAACTTTTCTTCACAAAACCTTAAGGCGGTGTCAAAGTCGATTGGATTTTTGCATTGAGCTTTAATGGAAAAATCGCATCGACTTTGACACCGCCTTAAGCTAGTGATGGGATATCGATATTAAATATCGGAACATATCGATATCTATGTCACGATAATCGATATTTTAATATCGATATTAACGTTTTGATATATCGTTACCGTTATCGATAAAATTTTTAATATCGATAATTCTAGCGCGCAACCGCGTAACGACCACACGATGTGTCACACGTTTTGAGTTTTTTTTTAATTAAGAAATTAAGTAACTATTAAGAAGTACTAAATATAAGTACCTAATTATAAAACTCTTATATTATAAAATATTTATAACGTAAACAAAACTTTTAAACCATTTTTTACATTGATTTTTAGGCCAACGCAGAATAAAATCTTTAATAATCGTAAGCGTAACGGTTAGAATAAGTTAAAGAAGGAAAGGTATATTGTTTATCCTTCTCTAACCCATTCTATGCTTTCGGTTACGATTACGGTTCCGGTTAAAGATCTATTCTGCGTTGGCCTTTATGTGGTAAAAATAATGTAAATTTTGAGGTTATGATTGTTATCCCTGTTCTTTGAATATATGCAAGTTCGAAAGTTTTATTGAAAGCTGTCATTTTTAAAGCATTAAAGGTCATCATTTTGTTTACATAAAAATATAAAGTTTGTTTTTATTTATTTCGGTTATTACAAATAAACAGTCTTTATATACTTAAATTAAATTTTCTATGTTCATTAATTAATAATTAAACGTTTTCTTTATATATTATATCTATAAAATATACATTAATATAAAAACCTTATTTTCCTATTCTAAAATTTTTTTATTTTTTTCTTTAAAAAGAAAGTGACTTAATTTATTTACGTTCTTTATATTTATTGAAAAATAATATTAAATAAATAATTATTAATAATATCAAATACACATTCAAAAATTTCTTAGAGTTCTGCGCATGCGCGATATCGTTTTTACGATATATCGATATTTATTTTCGATAACGATATATTTTTAAATATCGATATTACAGATGCAATATCGATAAGCGTAATATCGATATCAAATTTTTTCGATATCCCATCACTACCTTAAGCACACTGAGCCGGCTTGGCGGCTTGCTTTTGTGCTTCTTTCACTCACCACCAGAAGCGTTAGAGTCAAATGCCCGCGAAAAATAAAAAATTTGCCACGTGATCCTTCTTTCTCACCAATTATATTTAAATTAATTAAAATAATTAATGAAGCATGATTTCAATATAATTTAAAAATCTAAATAAAATAGTGTTTTTTAATATTAATTAACAATTTAAATTATTTTTCAGCCAAAGAATTGATACACGCACATTATAATAAATAATTTTTATAGTGAAAAAAGGGCAATTAAAATACCTACAATAATTTAAATATTACAAAGAACTGTTCATTATTTCTTAAAAATTAACTTAAAAATTAACTTTTTGATGTTAATTAAAAAAGAACAACAATTTTAGTATTTCAAGAGTAAGAAAGATTTTATTGTATTTTTTTTTTGTTTTATTACAAAAATTATAAAGTTTCAAACAGTATTGAAAACTAAATGTTTATAAAATAAATAATACTAAATAATAATATGAATAAAAGTAAATTAAAAAAATTAATTATCGTTTACCTTACTTAACTAATTATTACTTTTCTATTCGGTTTTTCTTCTTTCTCAATGCTTTCTTTTGATGTTGATCTTCAGTCTTAAGATTTCTTCTCGGCATTTCTTCATTTTCCCTCAAGTAAATTAAATCCTTGAGTACAAAACGAATTCCAGAATTTGATTTTCCAGAGCCATTATCATTTGCGTTGCTTTGAGACTGCCTTCTTGAAACACTGTAATAAAAAGAAGGAATTATAAATAAAACAATTTGAGATTTTGCGAAATAATATTTAATGTCTTTAAAGCCTCAGCCCTGTTGAGCATTGAAACCAGCATGGAGTAATTTTTATGGTCAATGTTTGTCATCATAATAATCAAATTACTAAATTAATTAACTGAATCTCTCAAACCTCAGTTGATAACAACAATTTTAAATTTTAAGTAATTAAAATAAATTTTATTTTTAATTCATTTTATTTTTGATTCATTTTATTTCTGATTTATTAATTAGAAAGCTTACCTAAAAAAACGTCGATGTAAAATTAACTTTTCTTCCTCAATCCATTTTTTCAATCTGCAAGAAAAAAAAGGAAAATACATTAAACAACCGTGTCACGTAAATCAATGAATATTTTAAACAAAAGTATATCATAATAAAATCAGTATCCTTTTGGCTAAAAATTCACAATGAGTATATAAAATACCCATTTCTTATTTCTTTAAATTTATCATCACACATTTTTCAAAGGGAAATGAAAACATTTAATATAAATGTTAATAATCGGATTATTTACCTTTTTCATTTTTAGAGTTGTTGGTTTAAAAAATATGTTCAGATCAGAAGAAACTTCATTTCTTATGAGTGTCAACAAATTTCTTTTTATATCCCCCTGAAAAATAAATTAAAATCTTCTGTTAATAAATTGAACAACTTTTTGAAATAAATGAAAAATTATAATTAAAAAATATATCAGTATCCTTTTGGCTATGATCCACAAACTTCCATTATTTTTGGAGTTTTCTAATTAAAATTTATCATCATTCGAAAATTATGTATATATTATTATGTAATGCTTCCTCATGGAGGAACGTATAATAATTATGTTTTAATTTATTAATTTAAACGTTTAATTAACGAAGAAATTTGATGAATTTAAAAAGCTAATAACTCTTTGGAAAGAACAACAAAAAATTATATTTAAATGTTGAATACAAAATTTAAAAAAAAGCAAAATAGATTATAGGAAAATAAAACAAAATAAAAACAAAGAAATGGTAAAAATAATTACATAATTAGAAAAATTTTACCTTTAGGAAGATAAGATGATGTTTGCAGTAAACTTCCAGAGATTAATTTCTCCTCTTAACGAAAAAGGATTTGTCATCATAATAAATTTTTCCTTGATTTTTAAACATTTTTCTCCTTATTGTTCTTCTTCTTTTTCTCTATTAATAGCTGAAAACATTTGCAATCGTTACTATTTTTTCAATGAAAGGAAAAAATTAATTAAATATTGACTATCAAAAAATTTCAGATTACAAATTCTCCTCAAAACTTTTCAGTCCACTACTTTCATTTTTAAATAAATCATCACTTGAACAATTAAAAATATTATCGAATTTAAACATTAGATTCTAATTTAAATAAAAAAATTTAATTTCTCGATTTACAGATTTCTAAATAAATTTTAATCGACAATCGAGTAATTTACCTTTTTAACTTTTAGAGTCATCTCTGTAAAAAATTGACCATCTCAGAAAGGGAACAAAATTACTTCGTCTTCTTCCAATCAATTTTTTTATCCTCTGAAAAAGAAATTAATAACTCATTAATTTCACAATTTTCTAAATAAGAATTCACTTAATGTTACAAAAAAATAAAATCAGTATCCTTTTGGCTATGTCCCACAAACTTCCCATTTTTTTAGGAGTTTTCGAAAAAATGTCTAATCATCATTTGAAGATTATTTATAAGTTGTAATTATTAATTTAAATATTAAGAAAATAAAAATAGACAAAATGTAAAATAGTAAAAATAAATAATTAGGAAAATTATACCTTTAAGAAGATAAGATTGTGATGCTTTCAAGTTATTTCCCGACTGTCAGAGTTCTATTTCTTCTCGTAACTAAAGAGAAATGGACATCACAATAAATTTTGTTTTGATTTTTTGTGCTTCTATTCTTTTTTTTCTTTTTTTCCTTTGTTTCTTCTCCGCTTCATCATTGGCTGAAAATATTTTCAATTGTTACTATTTTTTCAAAGAAAGGAAAAAATTCATTGAATCTAAACTATCAAAAAATTTCAGATTACAAAATCTCTTCAAAACTTTTCAGTCCACTACTTTCATTTTTAAATAAATCATCACTTGAACAACTACTTAATACTGTCGAATTTCAAAACAAAAAAAAAAAAATTAAAAGGAAAAATTTCTTGATTTACAAATTTTTAAATAAATTATAATTGTATAACACACCTTTTTAATTTTTAGTCATCGCTGTAAAAAAAGTGACCATCCCAGAAAAGAAATAAAATTACTTCGTCTCCTTCCAGCGAATTTTCTATCATCTGAAAAAGAAATTAATAACTTATCAATCTCACAATTTTCCAAATAAATATTAATTTAAAGATACAAGAAAATAAAATCAGTATCCTTTTGGCTATGTCCCATAAACTTCCCATTCTTTTAGGAGTTATCGAATAAATGAAGAATCATCATTAAAAAATTACGTTAAATAATTTATATTCCACTGTTTATAATCTTCAAAATAATTTACAACTTTTTTAAAAAATTAAATTACAGTGAATAACACTTACGGAAAATAATTCTTTTCCACTCCTGTGGTTTCTTCGTATTTCATCCACAAAAGATGGAAATTAATTTCTGCATCACGAAGAATAAATCTCATAGAATTGTTTTCATATAGCACGATCCATTGAAAACTACTGAAACAAAAATATTTATAATTAATAAAAGAAAATTGGAGATTAGAAATTAATTTCTATTTGAAATAAAATAGCTTCAGAATTTTTTTTAACAATCACGTCTAATCAGAAACTCCAGTCTGGCATGACAATTAAGTGTCATCATAACAATTATTTTTAAAATAATTTAGAATTTAATTTATAATTTAAAATTATCAAAAATAAAAAACGAGTCTACAAAATTCGTTCACTTACATTTTTTCCACTGATAAAAATTCATCTGATTTGTTGCTTCTTCTTCTTGTTGTCTCCCTTCCTTGAACAATTAAGTAAAATAGTCTTCAATCAATTGTTTCTTCATTAATAAAATTATTTCCATGTTTCACGTTCCATTGAAAACTGAAACAAAAATGTTTATAATTAATAAAAGAAAATTGGGGATTAAAAATTAATTTCTTTTTAATAAAATAGCTTCAGAATTTTTTTCAACAATCACGACTAATCAGAAACTCCAGTCTGGCATGACAATTAAGTATCATCAGAACAATTTTTTTAAAATAATTTAGAATTCAGAATTTACAATTTACAATTTTCAATTAACAATATTTATAATTTAAAATAATCAAAAATAAAAAAAAAATCTGTTAAATTCGTTCACTTACATTTTCGCCAGTGATTTGTCGCGTTTGCTTCTTGTTTCCCTTTCGCAAACAATAAGTAAAATAGTCCTGAATCAATTTTCTCTTCATGTAAATAAAACTTATTTCCTATTTGTATGGCAAATTTCTTCTCCTTTCTATAAATCTGTAATTTTTCTTATCGTACATAATAAAAAAAAAATCCTGAAAAAAATAATATTAGAAATACTTCTTTACAAAAGAATGTAAAATACAAAGGAAAGGTTTCTTTTGAAGCAACAAACACTTGCTTTCGTTGGAGGAAAACTTGGAAATTACGGAAATCATTTTTCAAAAAAAAAGACTACAAATGGAGTTCGTTTTTTTTTATTTTTTTATATAGATATGATTTTTATATAATGTTTACGCGTGTGTATGTGTTTATTTTTTTTTCTCTGAATTCTTAGCATTATTTTTTGTTTATTTATACATGTATATATTTATACATACATATATATATAAATATATAATATCTACATATTTATATATTTATATACACATATATTCAGCGATTCGCAGCGACGAGATAAACAGTATCGCAAAAAAATTGTGTTTTCTTTTTATTCATTTTTTTTCTTTTATATCCTCCCTCTTCTTTTGTGAATTATTTTCTCACAAAAAAAGATTCTCTCAACAGGTCCTCTTTCATTTATTTCTTTTTTTTTCTTTTATCCATCACTTCACTTACAATTGTCCATTTATTATTTACAACAACAACCTTTCAAAATTTTTTTTTTTCCTTTTTTATTTTATTCACTATTTACTTCACCTATCCACAAAAATTATCAACAAACTGTTCCTCCCCACATATATAAATTATTATAATTTTCAATTGCCTACCATTCTTCGATAAGAGATTTATTCCCTCGAAATATTTTTTGTAACATTCTATAGAATGTGCACAAATTCACAAGGAATAAATCATTTTAAGATAATTTTTTCCTAGATTCGCTCTCTCTTTTTAAGATACACATTTATTCCTCAGCATAAATTCAGCATCAGCAATAATATTATTAATTAATAATAATATTAATAATATTTATTAATAATAATAATTAATAATTAATAATAATTAATAATAATATAATAAGAATAATAATAATTAATCATAATATAATATTTCAATAATAATTAATAATTTCTAAAAAAAAAAAAAAAAATTAAAATATCGGAGATATATTTTTACTAATAGCAAAAATTTAACGATTCTTTTTTTTAAAAACAAACTAAAAACTTGACGAAGGAAAATTCTTTTAAAAATACTCTGTTTCTCTCTGTAAATACGCTCGGGGGAAAAAAATCATTCTTTACATCTACACGCAACTTGTACATATTCGGTTCCAAGTTTACACGGAAATAAGCTGCCGATTTTTTTATTTTTACTTTTCTTTCTTTTAAAGGGAATTATATTGTGGATATATATTCATTTTTCATTTAAATATCTGCACGCATACCCCCGCCCCCTGACACAAGAGATTTACGGTACTGTGAAGAATAGAAATAATTTATTTTAACAATCTCTACAGAATACGGCACTGCAGTGATGAGCACTTATTATTATAGTTTGAAAAGTTTTTTGCTGCGACGCAGCTTATTTACATGTGAACACGGTTTTTATATCTTCATCATTATCATCATCATCATCATCGTCAAGACTATTATAATCCAAGTTAAAAAGTAAAACCACCATTTTTCACGAAGGCTTTACTCTTCGAGGAAAAAATATCTTCTTTCTTTTTAATTAAAAAAAAAAAGCTCACGATTATTTTTTTTATTAACGCAGACATTCAATATCCACGCTTTTGCAACTCTATTTGCTTTTTCTTTAATTATAAATAACTCGTTTTTTGTTTTATTTTATTCTTTTTTTTCATTTAAAAAATAGTAGAGCCTTTGACGCGACTGCGAATTGAGGAAATAAAAATTTACGCGGTCGATAAATTGGTTTTTGTTTTGTGTGTCGTTCTCACCCATTTTTTAAATCTTTCTATTCGCAAAAAATCACGATCGCTCCTCTTAAAAGTTACAATATAATATATATATTTATATATAAGATCATATTCGCAATATTTATAAATAATTAATTCTGTTATGTTCGTTTACAGTAATAGGAAGAATCATCTTTCTCAGACTTGGTTATCAATAGCTTCGTGTACGCGCATGTAAAGACCGTGCTTTTTTTCATTTTTTTGTTTGTTTTCGTCTTACCTACAAATATAAGGATTTTACACGATTTTAATATCCCGATTATCTAAAAGTTTATGTAGCAAGTACTTCTGTCGATGTGCGATATCGTTTTTGAAAAAAAATTTTGAAATGTTACCGCGGCTTTAATTGAATTTGACGATTGTAAATAAACGCGAGTCCTATAGAAACGAAAAAAAGCCACGAAAACATTTCAGAAAAAAACTTCACTTTTAAAAACACGATATCATTTTCAGTTTTTGTTTGTTTTTTTTCTCATTTCTTTATTTAAACTTTAAACCTTTGTTTTTTTAAATCAATTATATATAATAATTATCTTGCAGTTATTTCTGTATTAATAGTTAATATTTTTTTTTTATCTTCATTTATGTATAGCGTATCGCAAATACGGAAATTCAGTGTAACCGTTGATTTGCCTCGACTTTGTCTTCGGCTTTTTTTTATGTCCTAGGCTATAATACACATCTCGGCACAATCACTTATTCCATTGTCTTTTTAAGATAAATGTGTCCATTTTAAAAAATAAAAAAAAAACAACTGCAATTTTGGCCACTTCTAAGAAATTGAGTTAAAGTTAAATTTTTATCGAGTCTTGGTAAAAATTCTCATAAGTCTTTTAGCACTTATAAATTGCGAAAAAACGCACTTTCCTGAAAATGTGTTTCACAATTATATTCAGGAATAAAGAGTAAAACTCACGTCACGTTGGCATTGGGTCAAAAACTCTCCATTTAAAACACTGACAATATTTAACGCACTTGAGTTGACGTTTCTTCTTCAGAAACTTCTTCGGCTTCCTTCAATGATGTGAAAAAGCATGTGAGTGCTTTTAAAGCTACTGCCTTTCCTTCACGTTCAGCTGCATCGTCATTCGTTTCCCACGAGATGAAAGACTCAAAGGAAATTACATTGTCCTCACATAATTTATCAAAAATGTTTAAAAGCAGCCCTGTTTGAACAAAAAAACATTATTGGTTAAAATAGTAATAATAATTTACTACTGAGAGTAAATAGAAAAGAAATTCTTTTTTTTTACTTGAACTATATGAAACATATTTTTTAAATATAGAAAATCTAATAAAACTCACCAGGGGGGAATTCTAATTTATTTGCAAATGACTGAGCAGCGAACAGACATTGCAATTCTAATTTTTCATTCGCATCGACGAACCTATGTATCAGCGTTTGCAAACCTTGGAATATTTCAGGCTTGAAGTCGTGTCTTTGTTTATTACAAACTGAAACATGAAAAATTTTCCTTTAAAAAATATTTTTACTAAAAATTTATAATTAACAAAACGAAAATAAACTTTTTTTTCTTTCTTTGATAATCGAAACATATAACTGAATAAAAAGAGTAAAAAAATAATTTTAATAACAAATTAAAAATTTATTTTAATTATCAAAACGAAAATAAACTTTATTCCTTCCTTAATAATAAAAAAACTGAATAAAAAAAATAATTTTAATAACCAACAAATAGTAATAAGTGAAAATTATAAAAATTACAAATTAAAAATATAGGAATCTGAAGAGTTAAAATATAAAAAATTAAAAGAGTTGCATGAAAGTAAGGCATAAATTGCATAAATATTATTACTAACCAGTGGATACTTCCAAAATGGCAGTCATGAGAACTCGAATAAATTGTGGCTCAAGAACTTTGTCTGAAATATTATTCTGTAACAGAAAAATATTTTTTTATTAGCAAATCAATTCTCTATTATCAAAAAAAGTAAATTGTTATTAATTTTAAAGAACGCACCTTCGCCCAATTAACAACATCATCAACTATGTTATTGCTAGTCTTCATCAATTTTACAAGGTGATCATGAATTTGTTCAAAACATGAAAACTTCTCTTCTGCGAGTGCTTGTAATTTCTGCAAAAAAATTAGAAAATATCATTCAAAATTCGTCTAAAAAAAATGAAAAAAGTATTAAACTATTTACAAATGTCAGTATCCTTTTGGCTAAAAAATGCATATAGGTTAAAACCTCACTTATTTACACAAAAAGTTTTCATCATCAAATATAAAATAAAAGCAATTAATTTAATAAATAATATTAAAATATTAATATTATTATATTTTTTAAATTATATTATAATTATATTATTAATTTAATAATTTAGAACTAATTTAATTAATTTAAAATGATAACGAAGTGTGAATTAATTATTTACCAGAAACTTTAAATAGAAAAACACTTACATAATTCTTGATGATTTCATCAATATTTTCTCGTTCTCCATTAATAAGATCACTTATTTGGAGTTTACTACGAAGCCACTTTTCAACAAGGAATTCTGGTTCACAAATTGTAGAAATTTTTGAGAATAATTCACCTACTAATTTCCCACTTTGACCTGTACTTCTCAAATTAGCCAAGGTAATGGGCAATTCCGCAAGCGGATGAGTTTCGTCAATTACAAGGTGAACTGAAAAAATGCGCAAAATAAAAGAAATTATAAATAAGATTCGATTTTAAAAATTATTAAAATACGTTAATAATTTGCTTTGAAAAGCATCAGCCCTGTTGAGCATTGAAACCAGCATGGAATAATTTTTATGGTCAATATTTGTCATCATAATAATTATGTTACTTAATAATTAAATACATAATTAGAATTATATACATAAATACATAATTTACAAAAAGATCTTATTAAGAGAATAAAGAATACAACTTACCCAAAATGTCGGCGAAGTAAGACAGGATTTTCGGAATATCAATTATTAAATCATCGACTGATTCAAGAATTTCACCAAATCTGAAAAAAATTTTACTCGTGAAATCTTTGTCAATTACTAAAAAAAATTATAGTTAAGTATTAAAAAATACAATCAGTATCCTTTTGGCTAAAAATTCACAATGAGTATAATATACACATTTCTTATTTTAGAAAAAATTTTCATCATACATTTTTCCAAAAAATAAACTAAATCAATGGTCTTTTATTTTCTATTGCTAACAATAATGATTTTTTCCCTTATAAATATAAATATTGTTCCATTTTTAAAAAATTTCTTAGTTTTTAAAAGAACCCACCAAAAATTGAATTTTACAACAATTTTCTACCAGTAGAATTATAGTTTTTTTTTTAAATTTTCTAAAAATTTGAATAAAATTTCTAAAATTTTAAGCTTTATCAAATAAGAGTTGGAGATTTAAAATCACTTACCCTTTTCGGAAGTCGTTCAAAGTAATTGATTTCTTGGTGATAAGGAAGGACAATAGTTTCGATACTGATTCACGTGCATTGACAGATTTCTCGAGAACTTCGTTAACTATTTCGCGAACCACTGCTGGCAATTGTGAAGTTGGGAAATGTTGTTTAACTTCGAGTACAACATCCTGTAGAAAAAAAGATTCTCTATTAGAAATCAACTACTAATTTAATAGAAAAATGAATAAATATTTACAATAGAAGCAAAATAAAGTAAACATAAAAAAAATGAAATAAAAACTTGAAAATATTGTTTTAAAAATATTTATTTCCAAATAATTACTTTTTTTATTTTGAATGCGATTTTTCCGAGTTAAAAATGAATGAAATTAAAATTCATAAATTGAGTATTAATTTTCCTGTCCACTTTTTGGTTCACTTTGAACTTTTTAACCCAAAAAATGAGTTTTTTTGTCGTGCAAAGTATTGAAAGCAAAAAGAAGGTATTGCATATTCTAGCACACCAATGACTCAAGCATCTCCTTGGAATATCAGAGATGGATCTAAGGAGCGTGCGGAAATAATGAAAAAAACATTTCCATTACTTACTTCACCATTGCCCTCGGTGATATATTCCTCGACGAACATATGAACAATTTTTTGGAGTTCATCAAATGATTTTTCTGGTTTATTACTAATAGAGGTAGGTTGTGGAGCTGGTTTGCTCTGAGGAGGCATTGTGACACTTTGACTTCTTCCACTGTCAAGTGGAGGAATTCCCTCTCTAGTCAAGGAACCACTACTACTTAATTGGTAGCTACTGCCATTTCGCGAACTTCTACCATCTGAAAAATGTCGATCAACAAATCACAAAGTATTCCAGATAGAAAATTAAATTCTATAAATTCATAAACTTTGTCAGTATCCTTTTGGCTATGTCCCATAAACTTCCCTTTGGGAGTTATCGAATAAATAATATATCATCACGAAAATATAAAAAATTGATAATTTTGACAAATTATTTTCCATTATTTATTAACTATTTATTATTATACTTTTTTTTATTTAAAAGAAAAAATATATTTAAGAATATTTCACGTTTCTTACCATAAGCGGATTTGTAGTCAGTTCTGCCACATTCTCGTGGTCCCATCGACTTTGATCCAGAAAGTTGGAGTGGATTACGTTTTTCTTGATCAAACGATGAAATATTTTCTAGGGCTGAAAATTTATTCTGCATCTTTGTGGATCCTACAGAAGGAATATTCTTATTCCACATAGTATAAGTATTCCTATTTCCTAATTGAAGATCGTCCATTAGAGGCTGTAATAAAAGAAGAAAACAAAGAATTGTTAAAAATTTGAAACAACTAATTCAAACAGAAATTTTTTCCAAGTAAAATAATTGCATCAGAATTTTTTAACAATCACGTTTTTATCAGAAACTCCAGTCTGGCATGACAATTAAGTATCATCACAATACAATTATTAAAATTTATTACCAACACTTTAACATTTGATTTATTTATCAACAATTCTAAATTGAAGCTAAAATTAATTTCTACACTCATTTATAAATTTAATTTTCATTACGACTATAAATATGAATTATCAATAAATTAAAAAAAATAATTGCTTTCTGATAGAAGTAGTTTACTTATTTATTAATAAAAGCAAAGGAATTTTTGCAAGACTATTCTTTTTTAAATATAAAATAAATTAAAATACTTACAGGTTTAGTTTTTAGTTTCGAAGTATCACAAGAGTATGAAGCTCTCGATCGAACTGGCTGACTCCAACCACCATCTTCGGAAGACCCTGCCATTCCACCTGAAAATATAAACATTCCATTAACCAAACTATAAAAACAAACTGCAAATTTATCCTTAATTTTTAATAATTCCATCAGAATTTTTTTAAACAATCACCTCTAGTCAGAAACTCCAGTCTGGCATGACATTAAGTATCATCACAACAATTTAGTTTGTATATTTAGAAATTAAACAAAAGTTTTCTTAAATTATTTAATTATAGTAGGAAAAAATTAAAGTAGAAAGAATCGAATTTTAATACCATTAGAATAATTCTATTTGATGATACTTACGATTTCTTCGTCGGTCAACGTTCCGATCATCTTTTCGTGGGGTATTAAGAGGAATATTGAGTTGGGCATCTAATCGTTCGGTTTCTGCCTCTTTTTGAATTTGGTCCATTGTCTTAGGATTACTGTCATCTCTCCTTGGCACCCATTTATTCGCCCTCAAGTCAATTACATCTTTGAGCATGAAACGAACTCTAGAACTTATTTTTCCAGGGCCCTTATCATTTGCGATGGCCTGCATTTTTTGGAAATATTCATTCAATTCCTGAAAAAAAATGAAAGAAACAATTACAAATTGTCAAAAATTAAAAACAATTAAAATGTAAATTACAAAAATTTTTTTTTCGAATAAAAAATGAAAACAAATGGAGAAAAAAAAGAAAAATAAATAGACACATACATGAAAGAGTAAAATTTTCTACTTACATCTTTAGATTCCAATTTTTTTCCTATTGTCGTTAATAATTTACACAAACATTCTAAATTCTCCTCATCACGGAATTGTAATAAATGATTTATACAGAAAAGCATAATATTCTTTGTCAACATTCCTTGTTTAAAAAGTTCTCCAATGAACCTTATGTTACCAACAGACTTCATGCGTATCCTCCTCTCTTCCTCTTCACAGAATAATATTAATTCTTTCTTCTTTTCCTGTAATTTAATAAAAATAACAATATTAATAACAAATAAAATTTTTCCTATTCTATAATTATAAATTCTCTATATTTGCCATAATTAAGATTTCAAGAATTATGTATTCAAGAAATTACTAAATAATAAAGAAACAAGTATTCAAACTTACAGGATCTGTACATTCTTCAATTTCCTTAGCTTTCGTCTCTCTCATATCACCATTGTCGGATTCCTTTTGGAATTCATGTTGACAACGAGTGATAATTAATTTCCTAAAGTTCGCCGTTGTTGAATCAGATGGATCCGTACCGGAAACTTGCATCATGGCAAGTTCCTTACACATAAGTGCGTATTCCACGGAAAAACTAGGTTCATCAATTGCCTGCAAATAGAAAAAAAAAAAAAATTAGTCAACAAAAAAAAATACACGTAGAAAATTTAAGAAAATAAAACAAAATTTCAAATATTCAGAATTTTTTTCAACAATCAGGCCTGATCAGAAACTCCAGTCTGGCATGACATTAAAGTATCATCATTCTTACAATCATAACTAGATTATTTTCACAATTTTCAAAAAATTCTAGTTTTGTTTTTATTTTTCTTTTTCGAAATTTTTAATTTAATATTAAAATATAATTTATATATTTTAAATTTATTTAATTTATATACATATTATTGATAATATTACCTTTTCGAAGACAAGATTAATCACACGCTCCATTCTTTCCTTGGTATCAATGTTCAACGCTCTCACTTGACTAACCAATGTGTCGAATTTTTGAGGCGTTAATTTATTGAGCACACTGCGAACTTTTTTAGCGAGAGATTCGGTTTTAGCTTCCTCAATATCAATGTCGCTACCCTTTAGTCTCGTCGGTTTCCACGCATTCTCCGCTTCTCGAAGTTTAACTTCTTCTCGTAACGAGAGGGAAATAGGCATAACCATATTTGGTTTATTTGGTGGTCTTGGTTTTCCAGAATTGCTTTTCTTATTCGCTGGTGGCTGAAAATTTTCCACAATTGTTAGTATACTTTCCAAAATAATAATTCTTTCATCATCAATAATATTAGAAATAAAATCAGATTATAATTTCTCCTCAAAACTTTTCAGTCCACTACTTTCATTTTAAAATAAATCATCATTTTACAGTGAATACAAATATGAATATAAATAATAAATAATTACGAAATATGAATTTAATTCTTACCAAGCCTCCAAGTTTGGCGTTCATCGAATTCTTGGCGAAACCAGGAAGTAAACTGTCGTGTCCCCTCATATTATGATCCTTGAAAGATCTAATTTCGGGACTGCGATTCCTACTGACGTGTTGTCGTGTTTTCGAATCCTTCAACACAACTTCCATGTCGGGAAGATTTGTTGGTTTAATTCTACTGTAAGGATCGTCCTGCAATTGTATAAGGAAATCCCTGCCATAAGTCTTTTTTCCTTTTTGATTAATAGGACTCCACTGATCATCTAAATATTTATATTTCAAAAGTTGTGGTCCTTTAGGAATAGTTTCAATTTGATTTGGCGCTGCATTTTCGTCTTGTTTCTCAATGACAGTCACTGTTTCCTCAATTGATGTACGAAGTGCAGAAACTTTAGAATTCTCCTCATTCTTTTGGGCGACAATTAATTTAAGATCAATTTCGGTTTTAATTGTCACCGAATGATCGACAACGTCATTTGGAATTGGTGACATATTACTAACGACAATTGGTGATTTTGATCTTTCTTCTATCGTTGGTTTACTATCTTTATGATTAAATGTTATTGCTGGTGGTGCTTTTTCTACGCTCGTTGTATTTTCCATCGGAATTTCAGGTGTTGAATGTTGTTTTTCATGAGTTTGAGGCACAGCCTGCTGCTTTTCCTTCTTCGACTCATGATTGTCCTTTTCTTTAATATCTTTCGTTATTTCTTTAATTGGTTCCTTATTACTGTCTCTCTGCGGTAATGTTTCCTTAATTTCAGTCTGTTTATTTTCCACTATTTTTCCAGTTGGTACCGAATTCATAAAGGCATCCATATCCGAACCACTCTCTTTTTCCGCTCCCTTACGACTGATTTCACGATTTTTCTGTTTACTCTTATTTTTCTGCTTCTGCATGGCAGATTTGCCTGTAACAAAATAGAGAAAAATTCAATTATTCGATTTTTTTTTAAAAGACTATATCAATTCGAATTAAGCAGTAAAGAAAAGTAAATGTCGGCTTCTGGCCAAAGATAATTATAGATACCGGCTGTAGCATGGTTCATGGATGACTTTATTTTTATCCATTTCTTTGTAAATAAAAATGTTACATTTTTCCTATTGATAATAGAGATAAAATTCAACAACTTTGAATATTCTCAAAAAAAAAAGTTTAAAGAATGTTTAAAGAAATTTTAAGGAAAAAAATATTAAACAACGATAATTATTAATATTGTCAAGTTTCTAATGAGTTGAATATGCGGATGTAAACAACTCTTACATAAGAACTTTTTAATGCACTCTCAGATAATCCATAAGAGAATACAAGGTCTATCTTGCAGTTATGCCTTGATAATCGACAAATATGTCAGTACGACAGAAAATCTCATGATGTAATTGTTTAAAAATCGAAATATTGCCTTGAATGAAAAATTTATTTGTAAGTCAAATTAAACTTCAAGGAAATAGTTCTTATTAATAATTCACGACAATCTATTTTTTCATTAAATAATGATCTTTATTTTATTCTTTCCTATTTTTTTTCCCCCGGACAAATTTCAAAAAAAATTTATTCTACCATGATCTCTGGAACCACGACGACTTCTACTTCTTGATCTCGAACTGCTACTGGCACGTCCAGTGCCATTCATTTTTCGTTCACTCATTTTCGAATATTAAAAAATATTCACATCCAATCATTGTCAATTTTTCAATAAATCTTCTATAACTATTATTTATAATCAAAAATCATTTTCGTCACATTATTGAAAGCTTCTTTCACTTCAAGTTTGCTAGTTCTGTCAATATATCGAGTGTACAAATTACTCTAGAACCTTATTAAAAAAAAATTAAAAAAGACATCGATAAAAAAGAAAATTCTCGATGAAATTGCCGTCAACTCTCTTTGCGACTCGAATTTCAGTGTCTGCAAGAGCAGCTGCACTGATTCAGTATTTATTTATAAAACTACGAAATCTTTGCCAACAACGATCTTAAATGACTGTCCACTAATCCGACACTGTTCGTAAGGGTTGAATGAAATGTAAATCCATTTTACCAAGTCTGGAGAAAAAGGGGACAAAAAAAATCAACACGTTTTTCCGATAACACCGCGACAAGTCAATAAAATAAATTAATTTTTCCCCACTTTAATAACTTTTCCGATTTATTTTTCACTAAAAAAAGAAATGTATTTTTACCACAAAATTAGAATTTAAAGAATTGTTAAGAAAAAAATTGTCTTTTTTTACGAATACTTCAGAGGATATATCGACGCGACTTTCACGTGTCTATTTTAACCTGTGAACTGGTACAAACCGTCAGACTCCGACACACGATTTCTTAAATTAGTTCGTAAGATTCAAAAGGAGCAGGCGCATTAAAAGCCAGGCCCCAGTCTAAACTAAACTCCCAAAATCCTCAACTGGTCATGTCCGGTATATCATACTATGTGTGTGCGTGTCTCAAAAAATTTTTCCGTCAAACAAAAAAAAGAAAGAAAAGTAAAAAAAAATCCCCAGTCATAATTTCAAATATTGATTTCCGAATAGTAGATATAAAAAAATGTTTCCATTTACTAGATTATTCAAAAGTGATGTGCGATTTATTTTTATATCCAATAAATAATTCATCCAGCCAAATGTGATTGAACTAACACTTCACACGGTTTGTTTCGATTTTGCAAATATTACCTCGTCAATTTTTTTTCTATTTTAACTTTTGATTTTTATTAATTCACAATTATTGTTACTATTATTTATTTGAAGACTACATTCATTTTTTTCTGTCAAATTCTTTTGCAATTTCAATCAAATTCAATCAAAATTATAAATAAACGAAAATACGAAAACTGACAAATTGGAGTAAAAAGAAAGTGAATTTGTTTATATTGGTGAGAACAAAAAAACAAAGAAAGATTTGACACAGTAAGGTCTTACATTCACAGTTACGTTTTAACGATACAATTAAAAATGGTAATTACAATATTGTAAAAGTGTTTTTTTAAGTAACAAATTGAAACTAAATGGAAAAATTGAATCTTTTTTTAACATTCAATTTTTAGGAAACGAAAGAAAATTTAGAAAAAAAGTCTGGAAATTAAAAGTAGACGAAAAAATTAGCATAAAATTAAAAAGTACAAAAGGAATTAAAAAATTAAAAAATATAAAAGAAATTAAATTTTTTTTTAAATATAAACGAAATTAAAAAATACAAAAGTGGAATTTTTAACATAAAGAATAAAAATTGATTTCTTTCGAATAATAGAAATATTAGCTTCTCGACTTCAAAATGCAAACAATTATTGATTATTAAATTAACTTTTCGAATTCAATTAATTTATACTCCCATAAAGCGTAATCATAATTCGTTCACGAAATTTCTATATAATTAAATTAATTCACTTCAAATGCTCAAACTGGCATATATGAGAATAATATTTCCGATTTAATTAATTAATACCCGTTATTTTACTACGATTAATAATTCATGATTATCTAATTTATTAAAATTGTTATTAAACTAAAGATAAGTAATTATTACTTAATTTTTAAAAATTAATTAATAATTAATTTCCAATAATTAATTATTAAATTAATTTATGAACAGTAAACAAATTTTTTAAAAAAATGCAAAATTTCGCATTTTAGAAAAAGGAGGAAAGAATGAAGTAGAGGAAAATTGTCATGACACTCATAATCTGTTGTGTTTGAAAATCGATGGTAAAACTCGTTCGAGCTATCAGAGATGCCAATGACATAATATCACTGACGAACAAGATGCCAGTTGATTGCACTAGTTAATTCAATGCATGAAAGTAGGTTGAGTAAGATTTTGTAAAAGCAGGTCGAGGCGGCTAACTTCTCTTTTGTATTCCCCTTAATATTTTCATTTTAATCAAATATTTCCACTAAATATCGTAATTATCATCAATAATTAACCGTAAAACGTGGAAATATTTCCAATATTTAAATTCAAATGCCATTACTCACACTTCCCGAGTAAAAGTTCCTTTTTTTGACGAATAATAATTATAATTATAAAAATTACAATTATAATTATAATTATAAAAATTACAAATATAATTAAAAATATAATAATTACAACTATTACATTTAAAATTATTATAATAATTTGTAATGACCCAAGTCGACCATTAATCTCATGACTGGATTGTCAGAAATTATAATTATTTATAATAATTAACAAACAAAATTCAGACAATAATCGTTATAAATCTGATTCCAATGATTTAAATAACTGATAAATTTGATTAAAATTAAAACTTCGAGAAAATTGGTCTAAATTTCAATTAGATGAGAATTTCAAAACTATAAAATCGAATATCATGGATTTTTAATTAATATTTTTATACTCATATTCTTATTTCTATTCCTTTAGTATTTTTTTATTTCTTTCCTCATAGAGGATGAGAATTATATTTTTATATTAATATAATATATTCATAAATTAATATATTACAAAACGTATTTTATGTGAGATATAAAATGAGACTTGTCGCAGAATAACAAAGAAAAGCAATGAAATTTCCCTCCACAGAAGCAAGAATATTAAAATTCGTCAGTCATATAATAAGAAAAACCAGAACACGCTTGGCCCCTAAACTCTATACAAAGAAATAGAGAATCAAAGTTGTTCCCCCTTTCAAAATTCAACAATCTTTGTCTATATTGTATATAAGAAATCCAGACAAATCTCAAGGCCTGCGTCATTCAATTGAAATTAATAGTTCACACACAGAACTGCAAGAAGCATGAAACATAATTATTTTTAAAAATAAAAATTTATCAGTATATTACAGCAATAGGTGAACGATAAGAAATGATATTTGGTCCAATAATAATAATAACAACCATCATTATCTGAAGAAGCAAGACGGAACTATTTATCAGATGAATTTCCACAATTAAAAGAATTTTTCATCAATTTTTTTTTTTTGACGATATTGCAGAAAATAGTTTTCACAAAAATTTCTAATCAAACTGACAAATAATAAATTTCTTTTACAATAAAAATCTGCTTTGAAAAAAATAAAAATCCCCTAAAAATTTTCAAGGGGAGAAAAACGGAAAATTAAATTCTAAATTTAGAGAAAGGAATTTTTCTTTTAAACGAAAATCTCAGAAGAGACTTTTTTGGTGTTAAAAATAAATCCAAAAAAAAGGGAGAGAAAAAGAAAACGATTGAAATTGACACTGTTAACAATAAAATTACATAAGATGGAGAAAGTTTTCGGGTGTATAGTGCAAAGTCAGTGGATAAATCGAACTGCCGATTAAATAAAGAATAAACTGGCTAAAAGTGAAGGTGTCAATGTAGGCGCAATGAATTTGATGTGTGTTAGTGGCTTGGCATCGTGACCTCTTGCATTTTATACCAGCTCAAGTGGACGCACATCGACGACGATGTCGAGGAACGAAGGCCACGGCCTTTTTGGAATTGAACAAGACCAGTCGCCGGATTTTTTTTTCTCTCTTTTCATTTGCAAATAAAAGCAGACCAATTCCAATTTTATTCGCAACCAGAAAAAAAATATCCATCGCCTTCAATTATTTTCAAAAAAAAATTTTACAGCAACACTTTTTCAATTTCTAAATATCCAAAAATCAAAATTTACAATTAGCAATTTTCAAAAATCCTGAAGCAAACGAAAATTAAATAAAACTATTTACAGACAGACAAAATAAAAATGCAGACAAATATTTATCTAATCGCTCCGAATTTGGCAAGAATAAATTATACTTTAAGATTGAAGCAAATTGCGATAAAATATCGGCTTCGAGACAAATTTTTTCTTTGAATTCGAAATTGAGGGGAAAAAAATGAGAATTTTAAAGAAATGTTAACGAAATTCCCCTACTGAATATGTCTACGAGGTAGAACAAAAAGAATGTATCACGTTCCAGAG